CATTATTAGAGCCGTCAAAATGATCCTGAATCAGAGACCCACTGTGTTCTTTTATTCTATCCTATTTAATATTGATTCCGCTGACTATGAAGGCATCAGAATTGCTTGACTGAAAAGACACAATCATGTCTATAATATGGATAGCATGATAGACTCAATAATATCTATAGTATCTTCAGTCTTAACGAAGTACATTCAAGTACAAACTATTTCCTTCACCATTTTAGAAGTGATGATTAGCCCATAAGGCATTTAATGCAAATAGTCCTAGGATGAAAAACCTCACATCCTTTTTTACATAAATCTGAATAATCGTGGGTCACTGAACAAGCTATGAGATAGCAGACATATCTAAAGTTCACTCTGTGCCTTGAGAAATGTTTAACTAAAACAGCAGTCTGGATGAATTAATCAAAAAACAAAAGCAAAGAGGCGTAGGGAGGTTAAAGCTGCAGCTAATGTGCAAAGATGTTAATATTCCATCTTTGACTTCATTTTATTAATGATACACATGAAATAATAGAATCAACTTGTACACACTGACATTTTGCAATAAAGGTTCATGCACCAAGGTTTTATAGCATCCCGGTTACCTTGGCTGAAATTGGCTCTTGCATACTAAAATGCAAAACAGTGTGTGTGTGTGTGTGTGTGTGTGTGTGTGTGTGTGTGTTCATGTGTGTTTCTCTGATGATGAGGCTGTGTCAGTGCTGGCTCTGGTTTGTTTGGAGTGAACCCACTGACTTTATCTCTCGCTGCCAGAGATAAGTCTGACAAGTGCCACAGGTGAGAGCGGTCAGTGTGACATGCCTTCTGGTCCTGGAGGCGTGTCGTTTCCTGAAAGAACTGACTGGTTGGAAACAGTGAGTGTGTGCAGAGTGGCAGGATTCGGCTTGGTAGAAAGGAATGTAGAGGGCTTGGATATTATTCTTTGCTGTTCTCGACTGTATCGCAATGTCTACTTGTCAAATTGTTAAATGCTAATATGCATAGTAGCTTTACATAGTTGCTTAATATACATAAACCTTTTTTGGCCACTCCCAAGTTACCAAAAACCCAATGAATCAATTTACATTTTTTGGCCACTTGGGGGCTGCGCAGCAAGTTGTTGTGTTACATAATTACTCCCTATAAAGTTGCTATGTAGAACCATTCACTGTTTATATGGATGGAACAAATGGCAGTTCCCAAAAAGTGAAGCCATTTTTGGGATAAGTTTGGCTTCAGTTAGTAATTTGAAGCTATAAAAAGGGGGTTTATGTCATGAATGAGCAGCGGAGCCCTGCCTGCGTTTGAGTCGGCGACACCGTAGGTCCAACCCCGATCACTACCGCACAGTCTCTAAATGACGTCAAGATGGCAGCACCCAGATCCGGGATATTTAGGTTTCATTTTTGTACAGTGCGAGCTAGTGGAGTCTTTATGACAATGTGGAGAATTTGTTATCAAAGCTTTATTCATCTGGAGCCATGTTTCTGGTCACCTGATGAATAGAAGTCCAATATTCACTCTTCTTCTAGCTCTGTTTATCTCCGGACCCCTGCCTTCTCCACGCTACGGAGATGTAAAATGCAATGGGAATTCCTTTTGTTGGTGTTGATACCTTCCACGCTTTTTGGAAGCGACCCTTTGCACACGATGGACGCAATAGAGATGACTCTTAAGTGACAACATGTAAGTGTTGAATTCTCGTTCCATGTGCACTTCCCCCAAGTGTCAAAAAAACATTAAGTTTGTGGTCCGTAAAAAACAAAGAGCTGAAAGAGCTTAGTTGAGTTGAATGGAACGTCAGAGATGGGTGATAATCCTCTGGATTCGGTTCAGTTCAATCGACACTTTTCACATTACACATTTGATTTATTGTTAATATAGGAAATATTTATCAGTGCAGCTTTAACTACACAGATTACTATGCAGTCACAGACATAGCTGAAAGAAATTTAACTGCACTCCCTGAGAAAAGACTGACATTGGATGTAACAGCCTTCAAACGGCTGGCTAGTTGGTCCACAAGGAGATTGAACTTGTTACCTTGGCGTTAGTACAGAAGCACCATGTTCAAGCTAGAATACATAAGAGAGCTTCAGTAGCCACGGCAGATGTTCATAGCGAGGATGTTCAAACAACCGGCGGTCAGGGAGGTCACCATCAAGTGGACTCTAATCTATTCTGTGTGGCAGCATTCCATAGCTCAAGCACAGAATTACTAACTGAACATTCAGACTATTATACTAACCAGCTTCTCCTTTCAACCCCCTTCAGCCATATTGTTACACCAAATTATTAAATCAAGGTAAAGCTGATGAAGTGGAACAAGCAATTAGAAACTCAATCAAAAAGTCGTTCAAATCTCAATCTGCTCATTTGTATTAAGGCAGTTTAGTTGCTGTACATCACGATGGTGCTCTGCGGTATTCAATTTAATGCAGTTCAGTCTTTATTGTCCCACATGGGCACATTTGTTCTGTAGGGCAAGGCTCAGAAGACAGCTTTGAAGAGGTCTCAAACATTCTTAAAGGTAGCATGTCTTTGCTCTTTTTCATCCATCATTAGGCAAATGAGGACTTCAATAAGCGGGTGAGTGGGGGATAATTTGAAAAATATTCGCCCCTGAAAAGCAATTTTCTGCAATGAAAGTAAAGAAATCATTAGGTTTGTGAAGATAATAGTTAGAATAGGATAACTGAAGACCGGTGCTGGAGTAGGTGTATTATGGGCTGATTGGACTCTTTTCGAAACATGTTCCTATGTAGGCTATTATAGATTAAATAGACAACAATTGACGAGGACATCACTTGCCCTTCTATATGTAGGTGTATTTCTGTAAATCAGGATAAAGGAGTAAAGTCGGCTCCACTTTATAGTAAGATAACCTTCGTAAGAGTCAAAGCACTAACCAAAGGCTTTATTAATTCAATTTCCAGTCTTTATACTGAGCTAAGCTTACCTTTCCTGACTGTAACATAATATTTAACATACAAACATTAAAGTGGTATTAATGTTCTCCTCAAACTCAAATCCAATTTAGTTGATTTTGACCGATTTTGAAACTTTGCATAGAGCCAGGCTATCTGTCTCTAAGCAGTCTTTATGCTAAGCTAAGCTAACCGTAGCCTGGCTGTGGCTTCGTATTTAATGGACGGATATGAGAGTGGTATTGTTCTTCCTCGTCCAGCTCTCCGTAATAGAATAAGCGACTCAAAATATTGGACTATGCTATTAACAGGTCAATAAAGGTTGTTTTTTTTTTGTGTGTCATTTGGGCACATTTTATTGTGTAAAGGTCACCAGGTTTAAAACATTCCTAATGATATCCTGTTTGGTTTCCCGACGCTGCCGGCTCCCTGCAAACGAAGACTTTCATTCTGGAAAGAGAGCATGTATTTTCCTAAAACTGCATGTAGGAAACTGTCAAAAGCTCAACTAGTATCTGGTTCCCTTCAAAGCTTAAAACCCTTTATGTTGAAAATTTCTGTATTCTGCAGATAAAGTATTCAAACATTTCCCAGCATGCCCTTGCACACTTTCTTAACTCCACTTCTCCCACTTTATAATTACCTTTTTATTATGTTTTACACTCTGTACATCCACTAAGGAAGACTGTTAGTATCATATGCTGGTCACTTACTGCCTTATGTCAGTTTTCCTTGCCTGGGCAGCCCAGAGCTCAGTGGAGACTGTCCAAGCAGCGTTTGATCCCCGGCCAGGAAGGGCAGAGGCAGGAGATTTAAGCTATCCAACATCTCTGGCCATACCATGACTTTTTAATGTTTTCTATTTTATAATTCAGTAGCAGGACAGTGTATTGTAGGGAGCTGCTGATGTTATCATTAAGGAGGAGTTCAGCTTCAGATTGTGGGCCAACTGGCTTTTGACTCCATCTACTGGTCACTCACTTGGCTTTCACGTTAATATGTATATACTGTAGCTCTGTGAAGTGAAAGAAAGAAAAGAAATACAGTGCAGTGATGTAAAATAGAAATCACTTCAAAGGAAATAGTGTCCAGCCCAGGCAAGCAAGAGCAAAGGCTGCGAGTGCTCTCACACTGAGCTGTCTGGGTTTCCTCAGGTGACACCGCCGTAATCTCACAGCAGACATCACAGAGGAAGCCCGCAGTTCTCTTCCTCTCCACAGTGCCACCGCGCTCCCTTTCACCCGCCAACGCACCATCAAAAATGCAAAACCGTGGCATGGAACCAAAAGTAGAACATGGCTCGTGGTGAGCAGGGATATCACAGTGGAGGAGATTAGAGCTGGTGGGGGGAGTCGTACAGTCAGAGTACTGTATTAACAAAACCCTACGGTGAGCATAGCAGGCTTTTTATGGATAGGGGGGCGAGGTGGTGGGGAGGTATTCTGACAAACATTGGAGGAAAGTAGAAGTTGTTATGAATGACTGAGGGAATCTTGCAGAGTTACATATGCACTAATTGACCTAAAAACCCAAGACAGAAAGAAATCAGTGCCTGGAGAAAGAAAATGCATTACTGCTGATGCCATTAAAAGCTTTGATTCAACCAATATGAGACACTTTCAAAAACATAACCCATTCCCAGTTCATTAAAGTTTCATTTGAAGTTCTAAACACCTGTCTGACAGCTATTTCCTGGGGAAAATCCTTTGCCACACAAAGTGATGCATTTCACGGTTTGAAAAATTGAGCAGTAAAAGCCACAATGGCTTTTAGACAAAAACAGAGCGCCCCCTACAGAGACTAAACCACTGACAGTATATAGGACTAACGTTTTTGGACCCTCCCTGCCTACTCACATCTTACAAACTCTCCCCAGTTTATAACGCTGGATTTCTGGTTCTGTTATACACTTTATCCAAGCCAAAGCCAAGAAGACCCTAATGACATCACTATGACATCATTATGGTTATTCAATCGAGTGCATCTTTAATGGAAATTTTAAGCAATTTCTAAAAAGTTAAAATGATGTCTGTTCAAAGTGTTTATTTTAACCAAGTGATTATAATAATAGACCTGGACTTGATCTAAAATTGAATGGCAATATTTTTATTAAGTTATGAAATCAACACATTTAAGAAATTTAATTATATACACTGGTTCTACTGTATGGATTAAAAAAAGACAAAAATAAGCTTGACACACCAAGCTAATACATGGTATAGACTTTGCATTTCACATACCCATAAATAGTGATCTCGTTTCAAATTATAATTACAAGTTCATGTCATCCTCATGGCTGAGTGGATGATGTGCCGTAACCTCCCCGTATTTATTTGTTCACATCGAAAAATAAAATAAATCAAGAACACTGTCACTGAACTGTTCTTAAATATCTTAAAACTACGCTATAAAATACATAAAGCATATCTACCATGTGTTCCATGGGAAACAAAGAAAAGGCAATGGTTTAAGAAATCATTTCTCATGAAATATTGTTAAGCCTTAAAATAAACTTTCAAGCGATTTCAGTAAGGTCATTTACAACAGGTAAAAGAGGCAGGGTTTTACCATTAAAGCAGTCAAATAATACTAACATTTGCTACTTTGTTCAAAATATACAGAGAATAACATTGGTGCAAAATGCTTCAGTCAGAGCCGCGAGTGGCATGTACCACAGTAAACAACTATGCTGAATTTCACAGGTAAGATGTGTATGTTTGACAAGAATCTTGTACAGTAGTGGCCATTGTAATACAGTAATCCAGTGTTCGTGACCTGTCGAGAAATACTGCACAGCTTTGATTACAGTGGTATGAGTGTTCCTCAGTGTTCCTCTTTGTCTCTGCCTTTCTTATCCTTCTCGTCCTGCAGGGCGGTGCCCAGCTTCTTGATGAGCACTGACAACACCTTGTCCAGAGGGTCCATCACGCCCCTCTGCAGCCACTTGGGAATCGTAGTCCTGGCGTGGTGGAAACCCAGCTTTTGCAAGATGTAGTCCACGCCCACTGGGTCGATCTTACGTCCTGTCCAGGAGATGAGCCTGAGGAGAGAGGGAATGTTGACTTTAATGGATGCTAAAGGCTTTGCAGACACTATAGGCTAATTACTGGGGAATTTATCTCGACTCAGATTGAGAACAGGAGTGTTTTAAAATACAGAAACTATTTCAGTCCAAATGTCCTCACTAACTGTAGTAGAATGTAACTCAGTACAATTACTCAAGTATTGTACTTTGTACAATTTTGAAATTAAGTTATTATATACAAAATCTATGATAAGCTTACAGAACACAATGCATCGATAGTAGATCCATCTATCTACAGTAAATTAGCTCCAGCTCAACCAGCTGCAACATAAAATGCTGCTTACACATTAATGCATTACTAATAATAATTCAATGACACTGAATAGATGATATAACCTAACATGAGCAATTTTTGTACAAAGTCAGTACTTTAACATAAAGTATATTTTACTGAGATGTCACATTGGGGTATTACTACTTTTAAAGGACTATAAATCCATTTTTTTATTTTTTATTTAGTTTGTATGACTTGTATTTCTTTTCTGAATGATGATGCATGACAGCCTTCTATAAATGGATTTGCATGTTTGGTCCGTGCGTCACTTTAGAAATCTGGTGTGGCCACAAGGTCATAGATTCCTACAGTGTCACAAATGCCCTTCTCTATTTTCTCCTCTGTCGGTTGCCAATGAGCATTATTCATGAATGAGCAATGTGACTCAATTAGACTCCGTCACATGAAAGGGTGTGCGTCTGAAAACACTCCAAAATGTCTGTGGTGCGGTGGAGCAGAGCTGACCTGAGAGTCGGCTCCAAGTGCCAGGTGTTGCACATGAACTCCCTCCAGTCCACCGTGGTGTAGTTGATGCCGTCGTCCTTGTCCTTGTCCGTGGAGCTTTCGTCGTGCAGGGCCGTGGGGCTCTTCTGGCCCGGCCGAGTGGCGAACATCCGCGGGGCGAAAAGGGCTGAGGGCGCAGGAGAAAGAGAGGCAATGAGGTTGTCGCTCTGCACGCTCCACTGCCCCTGATGTTCTCTTTTTAACATGGCAAACACATTTCTTTAGCAACAAACATCCAGAAGTAGAACACAATAAACATTCATTAATATCCCTGCAAGCACCTTGAGAGTATACATCTAGACTCTATTCACATTCAAATACCCATCTGTCCTACTTTAATTAATCAGGATTAATCAAACCCTGATGAAAATCTTCACCGCTCGCCTCTTTTCTCTCTCTATTCAGCTGCAGAGTCAACAGAACAAAGTCGTGGCACTATTTTAATTGTCATGAAGAATGCGAGGTTGCCGGAATAAAGAGTGCTAATTTGTTCCTTTCTGACAATAGGAAACCCATTAAAATGCTGCCTGCATTGGGCTCTCTGACCTCCCCGCTGTGTGTGAAAATAACACTCAGCTTCCTGCGCTTCATGCTGCTCTACAAAATGTGTCCGACAGCATACAAACAGCTCCGCGGGTAGAGAGGCAGACAGATGTGGTTCATCTCGTTATTTCTCCTTGGATAGTTTGATAAGTCATTTCCTTGACGTGCTGTACAAAGCCCGGTTTAGAACAGCTGAAATGACTAAACATTGTTTATTTTCTCCCTGACTGACTGACAGACTGACTGACGGACTGACTGACTGACGGACTGAAAGGGTTAAGGGATGCATTCTTGTAAAGATAAAAACCTTTCTCCTTCTCCTTCAGGTAGGCAGACACCAGGTCATGAAGAAACATGATGAGCTCAGCGTCCATGGTGACACAGATGTGGTCTGTGAATTCTGTCACCACGCTGCACTCCACTTTGGGTTTGCTATTGGAGTCTGGAACAAAAAAAAAAAAAAAACAAATTAATTACACTAAAAGAGTACTCCACCAGTTTAGGACTCACAATGGGCACTTCAAAATAAAAAACGGATGAAAATTGATGCATTTCACACACATGATTGGAGAGTTCCCTGGTTAACCTCTAAATACTATGTATCTGCCCAGGCAGAGTAATACTGTTGGCCAGCTGTATATCGGCCAATACTGGCCAATCACAGTTTGTTGTTTTCTGGTATATAATGCAGAATTGTTTTTCCTAAAGATCTGATCTTTAATCATTTATTTAATTTTTATTGATTTTATATTGTCTTAACCCATTTCTAGAATGAATGTACATGTTGAATTATTTAACATGTTAAAGAATATTTCCCCTAAATATTCTGCACTAAGCAGCCTTCCGAGTACCTTTTCATCGTCATATTGGTGCAGAAGCCACATAGAAAAAGTCTATTTTCATTCCAGCATAAACATTCACTGTAAATGCTGCACTGCCATATCAGCAAGCTGGGAATTGTTCCTGGTCGGGCTCTAGTGCGGACACCCCTCCCTCTCCAAAATGAAAAACTCTTCAGATCAACACCAATCACGACGGTGTCATATTTTCCACCCATAACGTCATATTCTGTGAGTTTGCAGTTACGTGTATACAGTAAATATGTAATATTGGTACTCACTACCAGACTGATGAACAGGTGAAATATTACTGTGCAGTGAAGCAGAAGTCAGAGAATAAACCTGTTATTGTCTTTATGTGCTGCTAACTTTGCTTATCCAGACCTACCCGTTAGAGAAGGTTCATCAGGATCTTGTACATGGATGGACTTGAAGTCCAGCTGCATTCTGGGAAGAGCAAAGATGGTCTCAGTTTCATGGTTGTAGCTGGAGGAGCTGCGGAAGCTGCTCAGCAGACTTGAGCTTTTGGCGGCCACTCCGCTCTCTTGGTTGTTGGCTTCCACGTTCCTGAGTAGGTTCAACTCTGAAACAGGAGATAAGACCCGTGAGAAGTGTTGAGTTGAAGGTCATGTTCACACTTCTTCTTCTCTTTTTTTTTTTTAATACTATCTGCACCTATTTTACATTTCAGATAAGAAGCAGCAGCTGAAAGGGAAGGCAGACAGAAAGTAGCTCTTCTGTCTTCTTTTAGTCAGAGCTGTGTGAAGCTGAGAAAAGTTTGAGAAAATACTAAAATGAAGCAACCATTTACACTTAGCTGCCACTTTATTAGCGACACGCAGCTAAAAACGAATGCAGACTAATTCACAGAGTCTGCAATAAATTCTAACTTCATGAAGGTTTTAATGTTCAGATGTTGTTGATGCTATCTTGGAGAGGTGTTGATTGAATTGTGCTGTTGAGCTGTACTGCGTTATGCTGAGAGGTGTTTGCAATATTTCTTCTACCTCATTTACATAAATGTGTGATCCTTACAGCAAAGGAATCACTTTGATAGAAATATTAAAATGAATGAGGAAACCGCACTGAGTCTCCATGTTTTTATTGATGCATATAACCGCCACAAGAAACATGCATCAGGAATATAAGAACCACTCTACTTTATATGGTAAAGCAGAATGGGGGAAGGGAGCAAACAGGAATATTGGCTAAATATATGTAAAATACAATCCACCACCTCCGGATCTGGCCAGTGGAGATCATTTTCATGGAAGAACATTATCAGTTTTTTTTTTTTTTTTAAAGAAATGTTTACAGAATGGGAGAGTGGATTCTGGCTGGAGATGATGTAACAATTCAATGGCTGAACACTTTCACATATTTTTGAATTGTCCAGTAATCCAATCCTATTGGCTAGAGATAGTAACAGAAATAAAATCAATAATGGGTTTTGAGATGGATTATAGTTTTGGCAGCATATATTTAGATAATAATCCAACTGAAAAAGGAAATAACTAAGAACTGGTTAGATAAGGACCCACCAACAAAAGGAGAGTGGATCGCAATAATAAAAGAAATGTATAAAAAGAGAAACTGACCTTTTCTCTAAGGCTTTGTATCAATACATTCCACAAGTAATGGTGTAAATGGAGTATGCACATAAATACAGATACTTTATAGAAAGCGAAGAAATGTGAAATCCCCCTCTTTTTAATTTTACTTCCTCTTTTTCCTCTCCTTCCTTTTGGTTGTGGCCTACTAGTATCATTACGTGCATAATTCCTTCATAACCTTATTCCTGTGATGTATTTGTTCTTTGGTTCATACTGGGTTTGTATGTGTATTTGCAGTATGCGCGTCATAAGACAGCAGTCATTTTAATTCCCTCTGAGCATATGGACAGGAAGGGATCTGTACTTGATGCTGCGTTGGTGTTGTCTTTGTACGCCTCTCTCTCTCCCTGGGACTATGGGAGTGATGGCAAGTAACCCTTAACACAAAGCTAACTGCTGTACCAATAACATTTGAGCTGTGTTGTATTGCCCCTGGTGACCTGTCTGTTCAGTTATGTGGGTCTTTGTTCATCTGTGATGCAGGATCGATATCTCGACAAAAGAACTGGTTTTAAATGATAAAAAAAATGAAAGAGAATGATAAATGGTTACCTTCATTCCTCATGGCAGTGACGTAGTTGAACCATTCTTTGACTGTAGCGACTCCATGTGGGGGGTTTTCATGCCGCCGGCGGGTTATTTTGGTTATAGTGGCCATGGGGCTCTCGAGGGCACCGCAGGGTTTGGTCACCATGGTGTTATGACCAAGGTGGAAATCCAGTGTCTGAACAATGTAGGTAGAATCATCTTTGGAGCCTGCGTGTGGCAGAAACCAAAGTTAGTTATCAAAACGGGATTATAGCGCCACACCCAAGTGTATAAATTCAAATATGTAAACTAATAGACCTTTTTTACAGCAGAATGAAACACATGAAATAGTAGGGTAAACACAATGAGACAAATTAAGGTTCCATTCAGGTCAAACAATCAGGATGCTGCTATTGTGCATGTTGGCTCAGTGGTAAAGCTCTGCTACACTAAATGGAATAGAGCCTTTTGGTAACACCTGTGTTTACCCTACTATGTCCTGTCAAAGTGGCTGCTGTGAAATTTCACACAATTGGACTATTAAGAAATATTTTTACTTCAGATTATGTCATTATTTTTCAACTCCATTTATACTATTGAAGTCCCTGAAATGAACGGTCTGTCTCACCGTCCTCCCAGATCTTCTGTGCCTCAGTCCAGAAGGCGATGTTGGGCTCTTCCAGGTGGAACAGAGCCCACGACTTGGAGCGGAAGTTGGGCCCGTGGAAGCAGGCCAGCGTCATGTGATTGCCATGGAGGCTCATTGAACCGCCCAGCTGCACGGCGTCCTCAGGCAGAGGCATCTGGAAGAGGGAGATGTGGCAGCCTGCGATTACCTTCAGCACCCCGGGCCAGTGCCGGTGATGGGCTGCATCCATGTCTGTGTGGGAAAGGCGGTTAGGGGACACAAATGAGAGGTGAGGATGGGGGCTGGGGGTAGGCAGACAAATCGATTCTGACCAGAACATGAGGCTTGATGCTGGTGTTTTTGTGTAATATGTCATTTTTATCCTTACATAGCCTCCAATCTTTTTAAATGTATTCTGCTTGTGCTTTTTCTTTGTTTTTAATGATCTCCAGAGGATGTTTGATTATATTCAGTGGTTGAACCACCTTGTCAACTATTTGAGAAAGTGCTTTACAAATTAAGCTTATTAGAATTACAAATCATTTCATTTTCTATAACCAGCGTAGCTGCCTGAGACACTTGCTGTGCATACCTTATTATGCCACAGTCTGCGATAAATATTTCACATAGCAGCAATATAGAAGAAGGCGTGCTTACAAAGCTCTGCAGCTCCTTTCTCAGTGTTGATGACAGGGGTTTTGGGGGGTATGTAGGGTCCAGGGCCCCAGGTGGAAAGGGCCCGCTTGCTGGTGTCAAATTGTTGAGTGAAAAACTCCTGCAGTTTCATTCCAATCTTGATGAGGTCTGGCGTGGTGGAGCGTGAAATGATCACCTGGAAAATATCCCACTGCAAGTCTCCATGGACGAAGATCTCACTGGAAGGACAGAGGGAAAGAAGATGGGGAGGGAAAAGGGTGAGAAACAGGGAGATGGAAGGTTAAGACGGTTAAGATTGTAGAAAAACTGAAATATCATACATTAAACGTCACTGCATGTGGAATAACCACACAGTAAATATTATATCGGTATCATCATTCTGTTACACCGGCAGAGATGCTGTGTGTGCATGATAAGCTTCTGCTGACATCTTTTCACACCTTTTCTCCGATAGGCTGGTGTCAACGGTGCACAGGTTGACCTTCCATTCGTCCTGCAGCTGCAGGTCAGCGTTGCTGAAAACTCCCATCAGGATGCTGGAGCCCATGTAGTCAACGCGTGCCTCTGTCGACCCCATTGTGATCTGGATTTTATGGCTGGGTTGCTGGTTGGGGTGTTCGGAGATGTGGGCTAAAAAAAGACAGTAATTGGTTAGCAAATAGGATTACTCTTACTCTTAGGACCAAAACATACAGCTTTTAAATATTTCTTTTGCCAAAGATTGAGACGATGTCACATTAAGAATAAACAAAAGAAATGTAAACATTTTGTACATTTTTTAAATATTAAATTTAAAGAAACAAAACATTAAAATTACACCATGATTTCCACATTGGTAGACAGGGGGCTGCATAAGCAAATCAGTATGAAAAAAGAAGAGACTCATATAAAAATCCATCAATTCAAAATTAATTTTTATTAATTTATTAAAAAACAAACATAAATGTTTAGCTCACATCAGGATCAACAAATATTATTCTTGGGCAAACATTCAAATTATAATTTTTTTTAAACTGAAGAGTAGTGCACAGACTGCAATCTGCTACATTCTATGCTATATGCATGCAGAGCAGCAGCAGGAGAAATAAAGTACCATGAATACTCATCCCCAGGTCTAAAGAAATACACACTGCTACAAATGTGGAATGTCAATATGTCCCATATTAGCTTATTAATTATAAAAGTTTGAGTAAAATGTGAAAGTGCTTTAGAGTCTGTATTCTATCACTGCACCGCTCCCAGTGTTGTGTGGGAACTCTGCACTGAACTCTGGCTCAGGTCCATATCCACAGTTTACACTCTGCTAGAACAAGAGCTGCTAATGAGTTGCGGAAAAAACACCAGATGTCTGAGAAGTTGATGCTTTGTTTACTTACAGACCATCTCCAGGGTGTTCACGTCTATATTGCCACCCACCACCCCGCCTTTGGAGTCGAGCTTGGAGCGGCCGAGGCCCACAGACATGCTGATCTCCCGGTCCCGGTTGCTGCCCACAGACAGTCGGCCCTGACTCTTCAGCCCGCTGGTCGTCCAGCTGCAGGGGCAAACACAACTGTGAGCACTCCTGAAACGCTGCTGAATAATGTAGAAGAACTCTCTATGAAAGATAAATGACTCTCGTTGCAACAACTTCCCCAGGAATAAACACAGGTGACTGAAAAGGAAAAGACCAGTTGAGTACAAAGTCTGATTGACGTGGTCATTATGTACCTTAGCTAAGTATAATATTATCTCAACATGCCAATTTAACAATTAATTATTTAAGCCATTTGCTTATATAAGTACAGCCTTGTGGTTAAGCTTTTATTTTTATACAATTCTTGCTTTCAACAAAGACCACACCTACGCATAAATGTTTTTATGAGGGAATAATATTTTGAAGTCCTAAATAATTCAATCACTAGCTAGAGAGGCGTCCTGACTTGGTAAGGAAGAGACAGAAGATGCATGTGTTACTTACAGAGCCCAAACATTGCCAGAGTAGAAGATGTTTTTTACTTTATGATGACGCAGAGCTCATAAAATAGTACTGCCTTAGTTACGTGGGTGTTGTGTTTTGTCACTGATTCAGCAGGACTTTCTGCAATTCTGCCTGAACTGTAGAGGTGAAAGTTCTAACGACTGCATCCACCGGTGACCAGTAAAATACAACACTGTATAAGAGATGCATTGAGCACATAGGAGTGATGTTGAATGGGTGTATAGCAGGAGATGAAAGTGCAAGTACAATGTCCAGCTTAGTCGATAAGATTCTTAGCTTCAGTGCGTATCTTCATCTTTACTTCCTCCATAGATTCTTTCACACTAAAACAGCGTTTTCCAAAGTGGGTTTTATAAAATGGGACTACGTAGTCTTTGTCCAACATGACTTCAACAGCAGGAGTCGATTCACTAAAACTAGCAACTGTTTTTATCATTCACAGATTTCATGGGTGATCCCTCATAGTTTTTACTTCCACATTTCATTTTCATCAAGCAACACTCAGAGGATTTATCAATACAAGACCAGAGGGGGGAAATTTTTACTAATGACTGTTTATATAAAAATATTTATTAACTGTTGCATCAGTTGTTAGATTTTTGCTCAGAGGGTACTGAATATCTGTTTTCAAACATTTGGAATAAACTGTTAATAATGTAAGAATATTTCTTATCTTGAAATGCTAGCTTATTTTGCATTAAAATGGTATGCAATATATTCAAATATAATACATTTACAATAAAATAATTACAATACCATCAGTACCTGATAGAATAATTTACCAATGTTAGCTCATTTTCTTTCTTGCAGAGAGTTAGATGAGAAGATCAATATCATTCCATTATCTGTACAGCAAATATGAAGTAACAGCCAGCAGGCCATTAGCTTAGCGACTACCTGCTCCTGTAAAGCTCACTAATCAACACGCTACATCTCTTTTGTCTCATCCGTGCACAAACCTGCTGGGATGTGAATTTGTTTCCTTTGGACAGAGGAAGGCTAGCGGTTTCCCTGTTTCCAATCTTCATGCTAAGCTAAGCTAACAGGTTTCTGGCTGTAGCTTCATAGCGTACAGACATGAGAGTGGTTTCAGTCTTCTCATCTACTTCTCAGCAAGAAAGCCAATAAGCGTATTTCTGTTAGTTTAAAATGAATCTGTTACATTTCTGATGTGTTGGGTATTAAAGTATCAACATTTAAACATGCAGATGTGCAATCTACGACCACTCACGTGTTGTTTCCCATGACATTGCTCATGTTCATTTGGACGGTGAGCTGTTTCAAGTTGATGGCGAACACCACCAGCGTCTCCCATGGCGCCCCCTGCTGACCTGCTGCCTTACCATTCTTACTGAAGGAAGGAGTGGATGTTTTTGTCACCGAATCTGGACGAGAATGAACAAACATTAGGTAGAAGGCAGTCAGGGACAAATTATGAGCATCTTGTATACATCCTCATTGCATTTACTAATTTTCCAATTGCATTTATTGTAAATATTATTTATCAAATATTATTTTATCCACAGCACAAGGACTTTTTACATCAGTCTGTGTTTTGGTAACAAGGAGGAATATTTTGGCTTGAGACCCATCTGTAAATGGTTTGTAATTACCTCTTCTCGGAGCAGAGGAATCAGACACGCTCCTGGTGCGTCCGGGTGCGGGGGATTTGAGGTGACCCAGGCCACCCGGGGACATGTTGCTTCCAGCGGAGTGCTCTGAAAAGACGTTGGGGGACTGGGGCATGTGCTGCGTCCCAGTGCTGCCGTCCCAGGTCCTCCAGTAGGCTTTCCGGCTGGACTCGGGGGACAGATGTTGGGTGACGTTTTCAGCTGAGTCGGGGGTGGCAGGGCCAGAGGCTGATGGAAGGTAAAGGTTGAGAGATGTAAGTAAAGAACAGCCTTTGAAATGTCAACATGGAGCAGTGGCAGAGAAATGTTGGCTGAAGGAAGGTCAGTGAGATGGGATATTAAAAATGAACACAAGCTAAACCCACAGAGACGAGCAGATAGACGAAAAATCATGAATTTCCTTGCATATTTCTGCATTCAGTAAAAACTTTTTCTTTTATACTTTTGTCTATATTACTCATTTTACTTGAAAGCCATGTTGAGCGTAAGCAATTGTTGTCAGACTGGAAATCTGGGAAAGTACAAAAAGCAATCTTAGGAGAAACACTGTCAGAAGCTTAGTAAATCTCTGTTCATTGTGTGAGATGCCAGATAAAAGCTGACAGCACTCAACAAACCAACCCTAACAAAAACCAAAGACACTGAGCGGCCAACAAGTCACCTGGCAGGTTGATTGTCTGGTCTCCCAGGAAGAGGCGCCTGGCGATACTTCGACGATACCAGGCTCTCGGGAAGGCCAGGATCTCACTCAGTCGTCTCATGTCGTACTTGAAGGAAGCCGAGCCAATGTCACACACAGCTGAGGTGGAGAATATTATATTTGTTCAGATGTGAGACACATCTGTAAAAAGGCTCAGCAGTGCAAGCATATTGGAAGCATACGCTCCAGATCTACAGGGTACTAAAGAAATACTTGTGCATCCTTTTCACTGCTTGTAAAATGGCCCATTCTTACACTGTAAGGGTTCTACTGTTGTGTATCACTTCAAATAACCTGATGACCTAAGCAAAACTGAACACTGCTCAAGTCCCAGATAAAGTGAACACGCAAAAAGGACAAAACAGTACTGTGTGTGAACATTTAACACTACGCAATAGATTCAAACATCAGTAACTGATATTACAAACCTTACTCTTATTGAATATTTATTTATTTATGGACAATATGCAAAACTGAAATAACTGATAACTAAATACTGGGATGTTTCTACTTCTTAAACAAACATTTGCCATCAACAGATGTGGAACAGTGGTCTAAAAGCTTCTAGAAAATGAGAGCACTGGGTACTGACATGAAAGGTGTTGTAATACACATTCCCATATGCTGGGAATTCCCTGACTTGCCCTACCTGAAAATACATTTGTATAAACACCATTCCAAGCAAACAGACTAACAAGAACAGTCAGTATAATCTATTGTCTGTCTAACAGAGAAACGCCCTCTTCTGGGATTGACGATGTACCTGAGATGTTGATGAGGGTGGTGTCCATTTTGCCACCTTTGGCAGGAATGAAGCTTTCGATGAAGGTGGGGCCTCCACTACGCCTCATCCTGGATAAGCTGACCTTCACAAACTCCAGGTTGATGCTCAGAGAGTCTTTTCTTCCTGTTACTGAAGATGGCTCCTCGTCGACTGTACCTTCCGGAAAAAGAGCGATAATCATGACTATCATTAAACTTTAATCTCATTTCAATCTTGGTGGCCATTAATAACAAGTGTCATAAGATAATACTGTACATCCATTAACAAAGCGCACCAAGTCATGGTTATCCCCATCTCCACTAGATCTAGCACGTTTATTTTTCAGAAATTATATCCACATTAAAAAGAAGTCGTTATCAGCAGTAACATTATAAACTGCAGTGTTATTAGAACATTAGAATATTACACGCTTTTCCTTTCCCATTTCCATACCTAACGGCCCTGGGCCCGGAGGCAGGCCTGTGACAGCAGATTTCTGCTTTCCGGCGCCGTAGGGGTGGAAGACGTAGAGGGAGAAGTCAGACATGCAAGCAGTGAAGCTGAGGCCCGAGGAGGTACTGGGGGGGCCGGTGAGGTCGGACTGGCTGCTGCTGTGGCGGCTCCTGCCCAGAGGGCTCCCCAGCAAAGGAGACGCTGGAAGGAGGCAAAGGAGGGCAGAAAAACACAGGGAGTAAGACAAGCAGTCACATACAATAGACATGAATTAACTGAAACGTGACTATCACCAGTAGGGACTGTATCACAATTTACAGGTCTGACACCCATCAGTAGACTGAAATGATAAAGTCACAGTTACATCATAGAGAGGAGTAGGCTAATTAGAGTAGAACTGCGAATGAACTGTCTGTTAATGCAAAGTTAATGCATCACATGCATATTAATGTGATACTGTGATATTAATACTTCTCGTTATAAAGTAGTGTTAATAAAAAAAAATAAATAAAAGTACTGTAATTTCGTTAACAAAATCTATGACTAAATATGTTCATCAATGACAATGTCATTAAACACTAACTGGGACAATATCAACATGAAATACTGTTGATGAAAAACGACAAGACTGACATGTTGTTTTGGTCAGAGTTGTAGAGTGAATGGTCAGTATAATCTGATGAATAAAAAACTGTTTTCAATTTATGGTAAACATGCCTGGCTTACAACTACAGCAGGTAACTTATACCGGCATTTTGGCTTGGTAGCTTGAGGCATCTATATTTGAAGACCTCAACAATAACTATGTTTCTTGGATCTGATTGGTTGTTTTTGTTCAGCTGTGGTGGATTCTTGCAAAATGCCCTTAGGAGCATTAGGATGAGCCAGAGCAACCTACTTTTTTTCACAGATTATCTGTCTCGTGTAGTACTGTCAGGATGTAGTGAAAGTTTCAACAAATCTGACAAAAAGTTATTTTTCATAAAAGTTAACTGCTGCAGTTTAAATATAAAAATATGACCTGAGATGCACAATAACATAGCAAAAAAACAAAAGCATGGCAGAACTTGATCTGGCAAAAAAGACTGGAGAGCGAAGTAATGAACACATGAGCACAAGCTGTGAGCAACATTAAATCACACAGGGCCCAGACATGGCATGGAGCGACAGCTAATAGATATGCTCACGGTGTTTGATGTAAGATTTTGACTTAAAATGTTTTGTTCTTCGCATATCTCTGCACACATTAGAGCATTTTTATTCCGCAAGTCATGCTCTGCAGACCTTTGCTGGGAGGTGGTTTGGGGATATGTTGCCCTGGTGGAGTGGAGGAGGGCGGGTGAGATCCATCAGTGGGATGTGGTCCTGTCGGGGTCTCCAGTTCTCCACGGTTAGAAGAGAAGACCAGGTCTAAAGAGGGCAGTTTGAGCATACACTCCACCCTGGACATCGGCAGGCAGCTGAAGCGGATCTGAGAGGGCTGCAAACACAGACGGTAACTAATATTTCAGTCTGAATTTATCACTTCAGTGCAAGGTGTGTAACTGTATGTCTAAAAGTATGGATTTACAGCTAGATAGGAATCCATAGCTTACATTTAAATTATATTTGAATAGCTTCACATTTTAATGACCTGCATTAAAATGTGCACTCTGGAGTACACCCAAGGTGAAATGTCAGCAGTAACACACACACACCAGATACATTGGAGAGAGTGTGTATCATTTGATGTAGATCACCCACATCTTTTTTTTTTTTTTTTGACACGTCAAAAACAGTGTTTTGGGAAAATGTATGTAAAGTAATGCAACACATACTGACATAAGGTCACCGTGAGACGTATGGTATTTTATTGCTGTATTTTCTCTGAGAGGGAGTAATGGGAAGCAACAGTATTTGGTTAAAATAGCAAGTAAAATAGCTACTCCTTCACAACTCAGGATGAATGGCTAATAATTGTAGAAGAAATCTTCAACTGACTACGAGAAAAAAATAAAAATAATAATAATAATTATACAGGACTTAAAACAGTTTCAGAGCTGCAAATAAATATATTTGTTACCGTTATTATCTAATGTTGTGAACAGTAAGAATTACAGTCAGCTTGTCGGTACCTGGACTCTGACATAGACAACCACATCCACTGGGAAGGAGGAGTACGCCGATGTGGAAGAGGAAACCAGGGAGGTGGTGGATTCCTCTAGCTGCTCCACCGTATCAAACTGACCCATGTCCTCCTCCTGGGAAGCCATAGCTGATGGGAGGACACAAACACAAACAGAGGTTACCAAGAATGCTAGACACACAAGAAGTTGCATCAAGATCAGATGGTGCAACAAACAAACCTGTGCCATTCCTTTCCACTGGAGTGATGGGAATGGTCTCCAGTGCTTTTTCCAGGAAGTCCAGCAGACAGGGGCTGATGACCATTTCCTCTGGCAGAGTCTGGAGGGCCACCCAGGCATACAGCTTAGCAGTCTTTACTCCTCCACTGCCCTTACCTTTGGCTGGAAGGACACATGGGAGTTAAAGCCATCTATAGACTGGACTTTTCATTTCTTAAACTTTAAATAAACTGGAACCACATTAACAATAGTTTTATGAAATCTTTGGTGTCTTCTCCTCTGTGGCACACATCAATATGTATGAGCCCATTTGATCAAAGGTGCCCTCTGGATTCATGCTTTAAGATAAAGGATGAAATCACATGCATTTGATTCGGTGGGTCCACGTGTGGGTGTGAATCATCAACTCGGAGAGGCGTGGCACGCTAGTATCGGTGATTACAGAAGGTGCTAGGGCATGCAATAAAGAATGAGGTAAATGCTCAGTACCTGATGGAATAGGTGGGGGCGGGGGAGGTAGGAGCGAGTTAGTCTTGCTTTGGACAGCATTGGGAGGGTTGGGAGGGCCGCTATCTTTCATACCATACAGCTTGGACTCTTTGGAGAGAGTGCGAGGGAGAGAGGATCCACGCGAGGCGTTTGGCGACTCGGTCTTCAGTGTCTTGGAGTTGTAGTGCAACTGGGGGAGAGACAAAGAAGAATTAATAATTTAAAAACACACCCCAAAAAAAAATCAGCTCTGAGTAGAAAGTTGTGGAGTTTTGATGCTGAGGGAGACACTGACTTTAACGTCTACTCCTGGAATGTAGAAGACTGTGGTCTCCATGTCATTGGATTTGGTCTGCAGGGAGGCGGGACATTTCTTGCCAGCTAGGAGATGGGTGGTGGAGGTGTAGGTGGGCTGCAGCTTCTTTTTCTTGGGGGGAGACTCCTGGTCCAGACTCCGTAGACTGCGCTCACAGCTCCTATAAAACCCACAGGGAGAAGAGATATTAAGGTCTGCTTATACCTTATTCTGTTTGGTTACCTGAATATAGAAAGCTTTACGTCTTGTTTACAAGCCACCACATAAAGTTTCATCTGGCAAATCATTCAAGCAGATTTTGTAATGTAGAGTTTGATTTTACTTTTTTGAGACATCATTTCAAAAATGATTTATGACAGGAAACGTGAGTCAGACATGTTCTCTATAGTTCTCTGTAGTTCCCAGAATGAAAAATGTGCCTTTCATCGTACCTCCGGAGGGAAATGTCCTCGTGCTCTGGTTGCTGAGTGGTGGGGTGAAGGACACACTTCCCGCTGTCAATCTCCACACGGACATCCAGCTCAAAGTCGATGTTTCTTTCGGTTGCCGGGCCACTGAAGCTGCGGCCAGCAGGTGTGCTTGGCCAGCGCTCGCTGAACAGCTGACTCACAGCAGAAAACCCTGAGGACTTCCTGTGAGACGCTTGGCTGAGGAGAAAGAAGAAAGAGTTGTTCAGTGACTGCTGAAAATTGTCAAGCTTTATTTATAATAGAAAAAATAAATTATAAAAGACGAGCGTAATGGTGCTTCCTTTCATCTAACATTCATCACAAGAATGCTTGAGTAGTCAAAAGCCCCCCAAAAAAGATGACTCACAAAGGCCTCCGATAGCTCTGTGGTCTCTCGCGTTCAAACTCGTCCTCCTTTTCGGAGTCTTCGGAGGAGGAAGAGGACAGGTCGTCACTCCTAATGCCGTCGTGCTGGAAGGGAAGCATGGGTGAGAAGACAGCAGGCGTGACAGGGGCACTGAAAGCCGAGTGGTGGCCCTCAATAACGGATGGAGAATGGAGAAGATGGTGATGATGAAGATGGGATGGCTCATCAATGATGACTGACAACAGGTCCACCTCTGTCTCCTCAGGAAACTTCAGAGAAGGACAGACACACAAACTCACACAAGGGGACAGATTTCATGTCTTCATGAAGCTCTTCCTACTTAAAAACATGATGTCTTAAGTAGGAAGGTAGCCAAAGAATCCCAACTTTGAAGGAGATAGTGTTCTGTTGATTGGACCATTCTGATCACAAGATATTTTCGTTAATTGCTGAAATAAAATCTCGCAGCACAGTTTAGATGTTTAGTTTCATGTCCAATGACAGAACACTACCAGCCTGCAACTGTTCTCAAAGGAGCTGAGAGGTCATGCACTTCCTGTGAGGAGGAATGAAAGAGAGAGCGTGAGACAAGGAGGAAGATGAGGACGATGAGACACCCCGCCAGGAAAAAAGATGAAACACACTCTCAAGAGGGTGACAATGGAAAAATGCCCAAGAAAGTCGACAAGTATTAAGTCTAGTATCCTTAAAGACAGCTGAAAAAAAAAAAAAAAGCCCAATTGTCAAAAGTACCAGCAGATCCCAGCGGCAGATATCGACAGAGACTGGCTGCTGCTGAACATCAATAAAAGAGCTGAAAATATTTGCTAACTGCATCTGAAACTAATCCGGGCTGTTTGAACAACAATATGTGTTTTTATTTGTCTTTTTTTTTTTGCACTGACAAAATAAAAGTCTGTTCTTTTCAGGCAACAATCTAATCACAGACATACAGGTGTTTAAATACGTCAGTGGCCAGGTGGGCGGTTACAGCCAAACAACCACAGAAAGACTGATGAGTGAAGCAAACTCATGCAGCCTTATGCAGAGTCAGTCTGGGTCTGTCAGCATTAAATACTGGAGGCATTGTATAGTGTTAAAGACTTTATCACTATCAATTAGTTCTGAACTGACTTGACTCATTAAACATTGTCTGGTGTAAAATAGGTTTTGTGTCAATTTAGTTCTATGTCCTTCAGTGGACTTTAGTCACAAATTAGTTAGGAACAGTTTACGTCTCCTGGAGTCTCAGGTGTTTGCCTGGCAACCTCAAGAAGTAACTGTGTGCATAACCTCCTCTAAAAACCATTGTGTCATTGCTCGGTTTTTGTAGGGATTAAACAAAAGAGATATAACATGTTCATTAGTGAGTTTTAGAGGTGCTAATTGGTGGATTTCTTACCTCACAGAGCTGTTAAGCCCTGATCCCCCCTGTAAGCTACCCAGCTGGTGGCTTTAACTTCATTTTTAATGGACAAATCAAACTATTGGACTCTTCAGGCTTGTATGAAAATATGCTATATATATATATGATAGAATCTATAAAACTTTTAATCTTAGCCACTAACTAAGTGCAATTTGATGCTGTCTTCAGACTTCCAGGGAGGGAAAGGGAGGAAATGTCAACCAGAATTTGTGAATTTGTTATTTCTTTATGGTAATTACACCAAATAATTGCAAGTCTATATAACACACCAGTGAGCTTTAAAGCTCGATTGATATCTGTGTGTAATCTTAGGCCAAACTGAACCTTATCTGATATTGTTGGGTGTGAGAGAAGAACTACTGTTGTGACAAAGAACAGCCAACAGACCGTGGTACAGAGGCACACCATGCATAGCTGTTAGAAATCAGTCAACATATTAAGGTTGAGGAAAAGTTGATTTGGTTTATTATGCAGTTTCAAGACAGGCTGAGAGTGTGTGACTCATAATTCATGAAACGGAATTCCAGAATTGAGTCTTATTATTAGGCAAGAAAATGTATTTCTGAAAGTATTCTTGTGTTAGGGTTAGGGACACATTTCTATCTCTCATATCTCTGATGGAATGCCACTGTTATTTCTTTACCGAACAGTAATGAAGACTGCCGAATACAAATGTTAATCTGGTGCCACATTCATCACATAACAGTGTAACTAGGGACATAAGGAGCAGGATTACAGTAAATTATCATGCAAATGAACACACTGTTGTTCAATATAACACTGGGGTATATGTATACATAGCATCCTGTTTTGATTTTGCATATTCAGTCCTATCAGCACTGTCGAGATAATCAAAGTGGAGAAGAGGAAACAGAAGTATTTGTTGGTGATTAGTTAGGTATTTTATTTTGTTAAATTGAATCTTTTGAACGATATACCTTAAATACCTCTCCTGGACTGGTGGGTACATGTGCAGAGTCCAGTGCCTGATTATTTATCTTCAATTGAACAAAAGAGTTATTAAAAAGGAGCTCAGCAAAACTGGAGAAAAAAAAAATCTTCAGAGCATAATGGTCCCTCCCATGATCACATGGCATCACACGAGTCACAATATCAGGTAAACATCATTTAGTGTGGAGAACAATGACAAACACATAGAAATAGAGGATGAGGATGATGATGATCTTCAAACTGTCAACATAAAATATCACACAACTAAAAATATCTACTTTATCATTTCTGATTTGTTACATACATATATGTCAATCTACATTGTGTCAGAGCTGTCTCTGTTCTGTCAGCATTTGAGATACTTAGGATGTTTTTTAGAAATAAGTTTACCGTGTCCTGGATGTTGAAGGTGACTCTGGGCCCAGGAGAGGACGCATCCACACGCATATCTGGCAAATCATCCACATCCCCTATTCTGGAACTATGGACACAGTAGTGATAAACAGAGTGCATAAATACTTAAAGTATAATAATATACACAACCTCAGGAAACACTGTAATTGAACACTTCAGCAAAACACAAATTGTTACTGATCAGATTCATTTCCAGTTTTTTTTACTCATTTATTCTGCCCCAGAATGAATGTTTTTCCATCGCTAAAGGTCTTACAGTGAGCCAACTACTTCAATATCATTACTACATTAATTCTGAGATATCTGCATAATTACTATAAACACATGAGATAACCACTTTCTCTCCTCCACACTACGTTCCAATTTGTGAGTCATTGCGTCCTCTTTGTAAGAAGGTTAATGGGAAATGTGTTTCAAAAACATAAAGGGCCAACAGCAGCGGCCTGAGACAGAGGTTACATGGTCTTGTTTGTTTACAGTAAATGCAGGATGAAGCACTCTTAACAGTATAATTTCCATAATGATATGATAGCAGGATAAGTGGCTTTTTTATTTTTATTTACCTCTGTCTATCCATCCTCTTTAGAGGGGGTCGGCCTGCCGCTGCCGAGATGCTTTTGGAACGGTTGTAGCTTGGTTTGTAGCCAAGACCCCACTTATCCTTTAGAGAGGCGGCCTGGTGAGGAACAAACACAAGGTCAGAAGCAGTTTTCTCAATAGTCCAAATGACTAGGACATTCAGGTGTTTTAAAGCTTATATAAATACTTTATGTCATACTTGCTGAAAGACTGATACTCAACAATCAACTATCTTTCTTGGCTCTGATTGGTTAGTGTGGTTTCCCAAACTTCTTTGGCGAATACACTGCTAGTTGGTTGAGAGTAAATAGATGAGCATTTACCCTCATGCTGGAGCGACGCAGTTTCTTCCGGACGTCTCTCCTGATGTCGTTGACGGCCACAGACTCCAGCTGCTGATAGCGCTGGATCTCCTGGTTGATGGTGCCTTCGCTGGCCCCCAGTTTCCTGTGGTTAAGAAGAGAGGATGTAGATAGTTTTAAACCCCACCGGTGGAACGGTTTCGATTTATTAATATCACAACCAACGGGATTAGAATGGACAGAAATCTTACTTGAGGTCGTCGATGACCTTGGCCTGTTCGTTTAGCTCTCTGATGTCCACCACCCTTTTGGTGAACTTCCTCCCGCGAGCGTCAATCACTTGGTTCCCCATCACCATCTGCCTTCTGGGGTCAATGGTCTCCTGTTGGGTCAAAGAAACAATACACATCCAAACACATTTATCTGGTAAAACTGATGACAAAATGAAACAAAGCTGCTGATTACACCCATTTCTGGGGAAACAAATTCCGACAGGCAGCTGCTCCTTCCCAAATCTGTCTGATTAAAGTTAGTTATTTTGATAGTTGTGATTCATCAGAATAGGTGATTTAGTTCAATCCACACACAAGGTATCATAAAACACAAAATGTCACAAAACACCACCACCATCACCATCACCGTCACCACTCCACTCAGTGCAAGAGGAAAAATAAAAGCTCTATTGCCACAGGGAATTGTGTCACACTAATTTATTTCATTTCACCCATCATTGAAGCTTAATGAGGAGGGCAGTGAAAGCAAATGCTAAGTGACACTGTTCTCCATTATCATGCTATTTAGTTAAAGCATAAAAAAAACAGCATTGCTCAGCATTTTGGAATCCACAACCATCATCTGATAAGTCCAAGTGACTGAGATGTAACGCCACCTTGCAAGTGATTTTGTCAGCCCAGAGAATAGTTTAACACAGTGGGTGGCTACATACACAAGCCCAGGAGAGAGGTCTTTGGGCCCTGGCACTGCCCGCCCGGAGGCGAGGCGATGCACAGTTTAAGTAGTCAGCTGGGACAGACACACTCTGAGGCCTGGGGCTCAGGCCCAGGATGTGGTTTACCAGACGCTTCCTTAAGGTCAGCCGAGGGCTGAACTGGCTCTCTGGACTCTGTAAACAACGGCAGGAACAGACGGGTGGAGAGGTGGAACAATGGACGACTTGGGTCAGACTTTACCTTCTGAGGTCTTAAGGTAAGTCAGGTTTTGCTTACATGTATTGACGAGATATTAAAGGAATAGTTCAACATTCTGGGAAATGTGCTTAATTGCTTTCTTGCTGAGAGCTAGATGAGAAAATAGATACTACTCTTATTTTAGCTAGCTTAGCATAAAGACTGTCCAAAAGGCCTGTTCTAAGCTAACAAAATTCTATCGGCACCCCTAAAGCTCACAAACAAATGGTTTAAATCTCATTTGTTTGATCAGTATAAAAACCAAAGAGCGAAAACAACTATTTGGGGTTTTATTTGTGGTTATGATCTGGACTATTTCTTCAGTGACCTCATTGAGTCTTGTTATCAATATTGGCAGGCAGCCAGCAGAGACTTTCACACATAACCCCTGATGAAACCACAACTAGTCGCTTTAGAGGTGCTGGTAAGCAGAATTTGATCCCTTCAGACAGAGAGCAGTTCCCCCTGTTTCTAGTCTTTGTGCCAAGCTAAGCTAATCAGCTGACTGATATTTCAGACTTATACGAGAGTCATATTGATTGTTCCATCTAACCCTCAGCAGGAAAGCAAATAAGCACATTTTCCAAAATGTCAAAATATTCCTTTCAATTGTGACAACCACCAGTAGTAAGTTTAACAGCTGAAGTTCACTGCTTTTGTGCTTTTATAACTTCTGATTGAGTAGAGTTAATAGACATCTGACAAATATAATACATTTCATAATTGGAGTCACAAAACAACATCTTATCTTCTTTTGGCAGCATACATTACAATGTGTCATCACAGTAATTAGAAATTGATATTTAAATGACAAAAGAACAGGCTAAATCTAGCTGTGGTGGAAATAGCGTTATGCACATTAGCCCAAATAAAAAGCTGGGATGTGCATGAACCTATTACTGACTGACCATGTGGATGGTGGGTGACATGGTGTCGGCTTCGTCCTCATCTGAAAGGTCCGCCATGTTGACAGAATTTAGGTCAGCGATGTCATCAACGTCCTCCTCGCCTGTCAGTGAGGTCAGCGTTATGCCCAGCGCATTGAGGCGCTTGCCGATGTTGGGATCCATGTGAACATCAATACCACACATTTTCCAAAGTACATTCAGAGTCCAGGTACCAGCGCTACTGCTCTCTGTTGTGAGGAGGAAGAGGAAGCCAGGAGGGACAGGAAAGAAAGAACGGCAGAGGATGCGGATGGGATTAATGCAAAATAACATGTTCAGACAGTTGTCTCATGCTTGTGCAGCTATAGGGTGTGATCCATATTTTATGGACCCGAGCTTAGTTAAAAAAGAACTTGCCTGCAGAGGGTTGCCCTGTAGTCCTGGAACAAACTTCATATGTACCATCAGGGACTACACCTGTACAGACAACACACAGCCAGTCAATAATTCAGAGTAGTAGCGTGCGTAGAAAGTCACATCAGAATTCAATACCGAATGAATTCAGGTCGTCAATCACATGATAACAGGCTTATATAGTACATAGTTAAAATGTTTCTGTGTTTTATGCTAGTTGAGCATCTGAGATTCATATCTGAATACATTCCCTTTCTGGTAATAAAACTGAAGCAAAATATATGACAAAATCCACACTTAAACATAATGCGTCACTCACAAGCATTCATGACCAGATCCCCTCGGATTTCAGGCTTCCAGTCATCCCAGGAGGTCTCGAAGCCTTCGGCAAAGCGGATGCAGAAATTCTTGAAGTGGCCTTTGCTTACCAGGGACTCGGAGGAGCAGGCGGTGATCAGTGTGCTCTCAATGGTCAGGACCATAGCTGAGCCGGTGTCAAAATCTATGCTGTGGTTGGCCTGGCAGGGGGGCAGGGAGAGCGGTTACTAAAGCTTTAAGTGAGGGTGAAGTACACGGAAAAAAGAAGCCACTTCCATGTGTGGGCAGAGTTAGCTGGTAACACTTCATTCTACAGTACTGTATATCCACTTCATCAGTTAAATAAAATTATGAATTTCATGTGGTTTTAAATAATACTTCTGATCAAGACATTATAGTTTTGCAATTAAAATGTAAAATAATGATGCTGCTCCTGTAAATGAAATGTTACCAAGCTACAGTTTGTTAGATTGTGTTTTATTTCTGGTTTGAAAAAATGCTCATATTACCTGAATTTCTGGATTAACTCTGCATTGGTCTTAAAATAGGGGTCTGATCATCATTCCAGTCATAACTGGAGGAAGGTCAAAGTATGTTCACCTCCTAAATACCCAATTATCTATTTTTATGACTTAGATAAAAATCAGACCGCAGTTTTGGTGTGATGCAGGAATCCAGGTAATTCCCAAAGGCCCACCTGTTTTGTCTTACAAGAGTAGACAGAGCCTGCCATGTGCACCACTGCACTGTGGCATTAGATCTAGTATTGTGTATGAAATCCTATACAATTCAATGGCAGTCTCTGAAAGTTTAGCCTGAAATATGTCCTTGTTTCCATTTTAGGACACCACTCTGGACACCAACTGGCATAACCGCTTTTTAGTAAGAAGTAATAACACCCCAAACACCTCAGACACCAGCTCAAGCGTCATTAGTTGTTATGCCAGCTTTGTGGAGGAAATGTGATTGTTATAATCTGGTGTGACCTGCCATTTTTAAACAAAAGAGCACTTGTGATGCAGTGTACTTGTGTATTGATCCCAGTAAGTCATTGTCCCACAACAAGCCATCACAAGAGATGTAATAAATTGTAGGTTACTTTTCGTGCATTTTTTTGCCGGCCTATTGATGTGCTGGCCCCAGCTTCAGAGTTGATGCCCTCCGTAACTGGTACTTGTCCTCTCTATGGAAATAAGTGTGACATAACAGCTGGTATATCTTGTCTCTATGGACATACTGGAAGTATAACAAGACAACTGATATGGACTATTCATTAATATCCAGTGTTTCCCCTAAAGGATTCTATTAGTGTGTAAGGATGGTCATGTAAAACTTTAATCAAAACAAAAACACAAACATTTCCAATGTTAGAAGGTAATTCAGATTATTTGAATTATTTGATTCATACACATGAATAAACATTTAAAAAAGTCTGATAATAATGAAATGGCACAGTGCATGACATTCACATTGTGCACAACTGGTAAACTTCTGAATGGATCTATCATAAAGCAAAAATGGACTGTGTTGACCAAAAAAGAAGATAAAAAAAAACCCACATCACTACCATTATTCTGTAAAAAACCTCTGACTCACTCTGTTGTACAGTGAAAATAAAATGTGTTGCCATTTTTACACAGGCCGGCCTGTATGTACCTGTGTTATAGTTGTGTACTATATCAGCAGCTCTTTGCTTTGCAATAAAAGTGAACATTATAGAGGTTGTGGAGGGGAATGAATGTGTGTGGTGGGGCAGATTAATGGATAGTCTGCCAACTAACAGCTAAAGTAGGGGAAACACTGATATTGATAACAGAGGAATTGTTCTTTTATGAAAAAAAGAACAACAATGCAATTGTGTTTTTAAGGCTAATGAAAGCAACATTAACGTTACAAACACCGGGACAGTAAATGCTGCCAAGTGCTGATGGAGATGATAGTAAACTTATTTTATTTCTCAACAATTTCACAAAAGAAGCCCAAAGATGATTCCTGTGTTTTACTTGTATTTCTTTTCTTTAGTAAGAATTCTGAATAAATCGATTAAACTACGGACAACACTAAAACAACTTTTTAAGGAAATATGAGATATAAAGAGAAGTGTGCATGCAGTGTGTTTCATATGCTTAATACAACACATCTGAAAACCATGGCTCCTGTGCAGAATAGTGAAGCACTGCTAATAGTTGATGATTAAAAATAACATTTTAATGCCAATCAAAGATGCTAACACTGATGAGGGTTTCTCTGATTACATTATTTGCATTAAACATGAAAATACATTTGTAAATGTGAATATTTTAACTGAATGACCTTGAAGCCAACCAACTGCAACCCTTCTATTGTTTATATCATTAGTAACTAGGATATATGAACCTAAAATGTTACTGTTCTTTGGAATATCAAAACAAAACACAGCGGATTACCTGGGATGCGTTCGTGATGGGCAAGCAGATGCCCAGGTCGTTGACAGTCAGCTGCAGGAAGAGGGTGCTGAAGGCCTGGGCTGAGGTCTGCTGGATGCCTGGCAGCTTGTCCACCACCTCTTTGGTGGCCATGTGGATGTCCTTATTCAGGGCCAAGCGCTGCTCATTCCAGTTGTCATACGCCGCCTTGTAATTCAGCCAGAAGAGCACAGCTGCAGGAGGTTAACACAGGCGGGGAGGAAGAACTTTAAATTAGATTCTGAAGGTCATGTGAACAAGTCGGGTTAGATTTAGAGACATCAATGGCAGATATTTGTTGTGTGTGAAAATCGAGTAGGTGGAATACTTAATGGGAACTGAAGTCAGTCTCATAATACAAAATCTCCAGGTTTCTGCTGCATTTATATCTTCAGTGTCAACAAACCAGGTTATTAGGAAACACAAGAAAAAATAACCAGGTTTTATGTCAAATTTGAGTAGATTTTCCCCCTTAAGGGCAGATAATTCTTTAACATGACCCAAGAAAGTTGTCTTGAAATTAATATATTCAATATGTTGAATGCTTTTATTCCAGTAGTCCCAGAGGATCATGGTTAATATTGCTAACAATATTTGCCATTTGATGCTGGATGTGATGTAGTGAAAAAGGAAGCTGAACCTCTGTCAAATGCCACCGGCTGAGCGAATACAATTGGCCTGTTGAGCGTGATGAGGACAGCCTCCTTATCTGACGAGCCACTGATCTCCTCCTGCAGAGCATTCCGCAGGCCGATCCGAGTTCGGAAGTACGCCACCTGGTGGAAGTCCGAGCCAGCTTCTTCATACACCTGCAAAGTTTAAGGAGGAAGGGGCATGAGAAAGCACACTATCATAATCAAGCACAAACCCTATTAAAAAGCGTGGACTTGTGGCTTGTATTTTGTACTGTGAAAGTTACTGAGAGAGAACTAAGAGTTTTCACTAGCATGAGGCTGATCCGTACTTGGTGCTTGACTATCTGTCCAAGAGCTAGATTGAGATCCACTTGACATTTTCCGAACAGCTTAAGGTAACTGCTGCTGCCGCCGGGCTGAGCCTTGCACTGGATCCTGTTGGAGAGCTCCAGCTCAATAAGGCCCGTCTCGAAGCGCACAGCTCGCATCGAAGGAGTGGTGGCTGTCATCTGGATTCCCTGTGAACAAGAAAATGGCATTCAGGAGCATTTCCCAAAGCTTAACAGACGCCCAGACATCTCTAGAGAGAAGCTCTTCACTGCTTTTACTGCCTAAAACAACACAAACTTTGGACCTAAGTCTTTGCCTAGTTTGGATTTCCATGCTGAAAGAAACACAACATGAAGTACCTTGAACATGAGGCTGAGAGAGTAAAGCAGGATTTTTGGCTTGTCTGCATCTGTTGAGGTGTCGTGCTCATTCCACAGTGGAATGGGTTGTTCTCCTCCTGCATGCATAAAGAGTATACACATCAACCTCACAGGTTCGCACTCACTGCTGTGAGATGCTAGATAACGTGTGATATAGTGGGATAATATTGTTCGTGTGCGAGTTCGAATATCTGCCTGAAGTGTCCCAGTGCAGCTACATTTAAAGACTTCTCCCTCGTGTGAATAGTCACACCATTCTCATTATTCTTTACCCTAAACTGGCATAAATCTCCCAGTTCTCTCTCTGTTGGGCAATTACATCAATCAAGCTAAGTGAGTTAAACAAATTACTATCAATACTGTGGTGGAATTGAACATGACTGGATTTATGCCAGCGCCTTGGGCATTGTTTTGTGTGGAAAACAGCTTAAGTAGTAGATAAGCCACAGTGTGGGGAACAGTCAGATGTTTAGGATTTACTTAATTGATCGGAGAGGAAAACTGGGCCATTACAGCAGTGTACAGGTTCCACACATACGTGTAAAATTTGTCTTAAAATATCTATGTAAAAGTGTGTGCTGGTGTTTGGGACAGTACCTGAGACCTTCTGAATGACCTCGTTCACCTCCTTCATGAAAACCTTCTGCAGGAAGACCAGGTGGTTGAGCAGGTCTGTGGTCAGGTTGTGCTCAAAGGAACCAATCTGCACATCAACAAGGGGACAAGGTAAAATCAACACAGGCTGTTCTGTTAATCCATCTTGGTGACTCAGCGTCCTAGCACACAAATGGAGTGTGCCTCTTACCTCAGCCACACAGCGCAAGTAGTTGCCTTGCAGGTAGTTTCCTTGCTTTGCTGGAAAATCGTCAGGTGCCCAGCCCTGGTCTGAGTGGCTCTCATGCTCCTCCATGATGTACTCTCCTGACATGGTGACTGGAGGGAGGGTGAGGCTTGCTGATGGCGGCATGGTGGACATGTCCACTGGGGACACTTTTGACTGGAAACAAAGCTTGTGGTTTGGCAACTCAAAGGTAAAACTGGTTTGGGCCCCTAAACAGAGGAAGGAAGAACAACGCATAATTATTCTTTCTGCCTAAACGTGGATATGTGAGTTTTTCCACTCTCCATTCACACACACCTGTCATGCCGTGGCTCTTCATGCGTCCCATTTTGTACTCTGCTTTCAGCGAGGGTAGCAGGGCGGCCCCGATGGTGATGCCATCCATCATGGCGCTGAACTTTAAGACGATGGGCTTCTTCTCCAGGCCTTCAGGAAGCTGAGGGAACTCATTGGCTTCTACGGGGGTCTGATTGATGCTGGATGCTTTGTCAGAGGGTTGCGGGGTGGGGGTGTCCTCCCTATTCGGAGGTTGACTGTAAGGGGAGGAAAAAGGGCTCATTATCTAAAAAGGTGTTGACTCTGAAATTGTAATGGTTGCTATATTAATAACTGATTTGCCATCAGTCCCAAAACTTATGGGCTAAATGCTGAAAAATAGCTGCTTTGATTTAGTTATGTGTGTGTTTGCGTGTTATTATTCAGAGCTTTGCAGATACTGGCTCATATTCCTGTGAACATCAAATTATAGAAAGGTTGTTTAATATCCTCAGCACACCTACAACTCTATAAATATATTAACATAATTCAGAATATTACCATGGAAACAGACCACACACAGACTTTGAAAGCAGTTAACTGGCAACAGTGTGGATATACTGTAGTAACCTGTCACTTATGTAGATGAAAGGATTTTAGATTACAGTGTAATAACATCAGCCCTTGCACGATGGGTTCATTTAGGATTTTAAGTAAAGTATACAACATTTTAAAATCTCATTGCTTTTAAATGCTGTAAATGAGACTTTGTTTAAAAAGAATTGAAGTATTAATAAATTAAACGTACACATTGGAGGGCTGGCGAATGAGGTCAGAGATTTGTTTGGAGAGCTGGTGGGAGCTGCGGACCATCATGCTGTGCAAAGTAGCCGGGTGCTGGGGGATGTTAATCATGATGGCGCCCACTTTGAAGACAGCTGCGTTGTTGGTCTTCAGTCCTCGCTGGGCACTGTACAAGGCCTGGGACTTGGCAATGTTGCATTTGACCACCGTTCTGAAACAGAGAGTTAACTGGAATGAGCGAGCAACAGGGATGACATTTTATTTTACTTTTTTTTTCCCCAGGTAATGTGGGGATTTGAATGGATGTGCAACTGAAGTGGAATTACTGAGAGGACATCAAACAGTGAAACACCATGCAGATTCAGGACAGCATTCAGTTTTCGGGGCACAGGTGAGCACTCATAACAGTGACACATGTTCCACTACGAATGAATAAGGTAATGAATTGTACACTATGGCAGACGAATGCAAGGTCTCTTATGCAGGAAACTATTTGTGATCTTGCCTCTTGTCAAATAAAAACATTTTCTACATTCTTAGATTACTTATGAATGTGTTATCCTGAATTCTGTATTTAATGTATATAGAACATATAAAGGTATATACTGAAATATCATTATATTATATAGTATTATGTAAGACTGTAAACATTAAGAGAACAGTCAAGAATAAGGAGATTCACAAATAACACACACACACACACACACACACACACACACACACACACACACACACACACACACACACACACACACACACACACAACACACACACACACACACACACACACACACACACACACACAAATATGTAACATCTGAACAAAGAGTCCTGAGAAACTGTTCACTGAATACACATGGGTGACAGGCAACTCAGACAAATGGAGGATGTGCAATCAAGGGCTTTTGATTTACTGATGCATGTGAGCCCTAAAACGGTAGCAATAACATACAGAAACTCTTGTTTAGCTGTGCTGGTGGGAGATGTTGGGAAATCCTCCAGTCTATTCAAGTAGTTGAAAGAGAAAGACAAGGAATGCAAAAAAAAAAAGAGGAAGAAGAGCAGAAGAAAGTGTGAAACAGTTCTGAGACACCATAAGGTGAAAAACACAAGCAAGAGCATTGAGGAGCCAGTAAGAGTGACAGAAAATATCTCCAAACAACTGCTGACAATCTGCTAATATGGCAGAGATTGTGACACATTTGCATTGGAGCCTGTTGTTGATTATCGTGTAATCAATGGGCTTTGTCTGCGCACTGCGAGTAGGGAAATACGTGGAGTGACACCACAATCATTCTTACTTACACCTAAATGTTGGGCAATTTTATACATCAGTAACAACTACAAGGTGCAAAGTTGTCTGGCGTCTAGAAATTCAAACACACGGGTGCAGTTTAAAGCTTATAGTATGAAAACAGGATTAAGTCTCAGTTTTGTTTTCACAGCAGGTGCATCTGTTGAATCGAATGAGATGGGGGGAAAAAAAGCTTCTTATTGAGGCAGCAGTAGAAATTCTGAACTGAATCAAAGCAGCGTGGAGATACATCAGCCTGTCTGACTGCATGACTACAACGCTTGTAAACTGATTAGGATGTCTATGTTTTAAGTAAATGGAAACAGAAACAAAAACTGCTTTTAAAATTTCCTAGCTGGAAAATAGTTGGTAATCGTCTCTTGCAGGTGCTTTACTTTACACTCTTTTTACAAATGTACTTCGTCATTAAAGCATTCGCAAGTGCAAGTTCTGTTGCTGTGTTCCTGTATGAGTCAGAATAAAGTCTTCCGCTTTGACTTTCTCTCACTATCTCTTGACTCTCTCAAAAAACATAAATAACTATTTACCCATCAGTTTAGTATTTCTCAGCTGAGAAGACCACAGTTAAAATAAAATGTTTGTTTTCTTAGTTAACACAAAAAAATAAAAGAATATTAGATCAAAACATCAGAAATCATTAATTAGTTCAAAGTCAAAAAGTTTTTTAAAACACATTACGAGTTTCAAACTTCAAACCACAATCAACAAACCATCATCCAGCAAGGGTTCGGATCAATACACACTGTTAAGCTATTCAAAAATAATTAAGCATCCTTCTTTCCTTTCAAGATAAAACATAAAAAAAACGTAATATTTAAGAGGCTTATTTTGTTTCAAATAATTGTTAAATCACTTCTTATTAGCAGGAGTTATAGAGAATTTGTACGTACTGGATGTCAGGTGTTATGCCCTCCAGTAGAACAATGTTTACCCCTCCTATATGAGCCGATGCACACGTCTCAGTCATTTTCTGGTGCAGGATGTCTGTGGACACGTGAAAGGAAGATTAAATCAAACTTTTTCACTTTTAACTACTTTTGCTGTGAACCTGTTTCTGCAGACATGAAATGAATTAGATTTTGAGTAAAGAATCAATAATTTAATCAAGACACGAGTTTTATTTTGGAACTTAGCATCTCTTCTACTGTAAGATGTAAGTTTCAGGCCAAAGACTGTGAACGTTATAAATAAAATGTTATTTGTCCATCAAAGTCCAGCTTTGATGTTTGATTGATGTTAACTACCACGACTCACCATCATAAATAGTAAAAAGCTAATAGAACACACTAAGAAGAACTGAGCCTCACCTTTCATCTTCTCCTTCAGGGTGAAGCTTCCATGGATCTTCTTCAGCTCGGCCTCCATGGTCAGCCCGCCGATGTCGGCCTCCAGGTGGGTGCGGTTCACCATGCCGATTCCGAACACTATAAGCGTGACGTGCTGGGGCTCGGAGCTCACCAGGCTCCGGCGCCGCCCGCCTGCGCCTGGGGGCTTATTGGGCGTGGCGGGCTCCTGTTGCTCGTTCTCAAATATTACTTTGCAGAACGGCTCTGAGGGCCGACGTCCACCCTCTGCAGAAAAGAGGGGGGGTATCATCAAAACTCAAGTGCGTGGGAGTTCAAGATATGGAATCAGTATTATTCCACTAAAGCTGCTAGTACTGGGCTTTTTGTAAAGACTAGACATTCTTTGTGAGGCACGACTTTAGATACCATAATACAGTCCTTGTTTAACTGCAGATTTATCAAGATGATGTGTCCTTTCCAAAACGTAGTGCAAAATGTAATGCCAACTTTTAGTCCCTTAAGAACTCGTTCCGTCACCGCATCAAGAACTGTTCTGCTGAAACACTGTCCCACCACTACAAGCTACTCTCATACTTAATGATCTCTTCGGGGGAATGTAGGGTCCTAACAGCAGGGAAGGTAATATCAGGAAAGATTGACTAGAAAAAAATAAATAATACAGTAAGTAGGGAGTATGATACAAGTAGGACATACAGCATTATGATATATAATGAAGTATTAATTGCATGCAAAATAGGAACAGCTGAGTATTGACGTTTGTATTAGTCCCTTGTTATCGCTACTGTACATACAATTTCATCAGAACATGAGAGAAAAAAAATGTGTAATGTATGCAGTATTAATATGAATGAAAAGAAAACATAAGACAAACATAAATTTGAGTCTAAAGAATAAAGCAGCTATAGAGACAAAAAGACCTTGCAACAGCAAGGTTTGTAAGGCAGAGCGGAGGGTGCACATGGAGATGAAGAAAGGAAAAGAAGGAAATTAAAAAATGTACAGCAATATCTTGAAAGAATCCTGCGTGGGAGGAAGGTATAAAAGGTAAAACTGCAGAGCACAGCCAAAAGTAAATACTTGGGTGGGATAAAGGATGAAAATTATGAGCTGGCTGACTGCTAGAAGCCAATTCCCACCTGAAAGGCAGTTCTCTGGGGAGCTTTTCTCCAGGATTCCAGTGGGATCGGAGATGAGAGAGTAGAAGTTGAGCAGCTTGTACATGTTCTGCCAACATTCTGCCGATGGTTCGCTCTGCTCCGACACTGTGATGGAGTCAGAGTCGTCCATCTGGATGGCCATGTGGTCTGCCACGTCACGGGAGCCCTTCCTTGACACCTGAAGACATTACACAATTCACCACATTATGGGACAAACAGAAATGTCACAACATGCATCATTGGGCTGAAGGGTAAATAAACAGTCTGGCCCACTGTATTTCTACGGTTTATTGTAGTTCAGTATTGTTATAAGCCTGTAGACTGACACATCAGTGTCAGGACCCGTAACATGACAGCAACTCATGACACCTGTAATGTCAGAGTACAGGAAAGTTATTTTATGTAAAGAAAGATTTCTACTGGTTTAGATGATCTGCCATGAGTCCATCTGTTACATATTTGACTTTTACAAGAAATCCCCACACTTCAAAAAAGTCCTGATGAGAACTATCACATAGACAGGTTTGTAAAAAAGATTATACTATTTTTCAACTTGAATATTAGATATATATATATTTCAACTGACTGAAAACTGTGGACTGAATAAAGTAGTTTATTACCAACTTTTGACATTGTGTTTCAGTGCATGGTGCTAAAATGTTTTACTATCTACTAGCTCCCTCTAGGGTTTGTAAGTTGAAACAGTTTCAGAATGAATATTGTGTTTTTACTCATCATATTCAGACAAGTCTGGACAGGTGTGCCACTTAAGAATATTAGAGAGTTTTAACACTATTTGGGGCAGATCTTAACTTAATCTTCAGGCGGGTACTGAGTGTCCCAAGTTGTAGATTAAAAAAGGCTCCTAGACTCTGAAATGGCCTTTGGGTGTTCAAACTGGGAAATCTAAGGCACATTTTTAAAAGCGAAAACATAAACATTCAGAGTGGGTTCCAAGTTTATTTCTTGTTGCAGCGTTTGCCAATATCAATATCTTGATCTTGAGAAAATAAACATGGACCCATTTTGAGTGTTTATGCTGTCAAGGTTGAAAGTCTATACATTCAGTATGATCACAAGCTGTTGCTTAGCAATACAATTTTACTGTCTATCTTCCATAACTGTTACCTTAGAAGTACGTCGCTCAGAGCGCCCGAGGGAGCTGCGTCCTCGAGGCTCTCTTCTCCCCAGCGTGTCCATTCCTGACGGAGGTCCGTTAGGTGGTAAACCCCCAGTGACGCCCGCTCCTCCGCCACCTGCGCCACTCCCTCCACCCACCCCTCTCTTGCTCTTCAGGGTTTGGGTTCCACTACGTCCCGCCCCGTTGAGGCTTCCCCGGGAGCTGCGGCTGAAGTCGGAGGACCTGAAGTGGCGGTATGGGCGGGCCTTGAAGGTGGGCGTCGGTGAGGCAGAGCCAGCAGTGTAGCGGCTCAGCTTGATGTCGGTCTGTGTGGCCTTGATGTCGTCGATCATGGTGCTGAACTGGTGGATGAGGCGCACAAGGGCCATGTCCACGCGCTGGCTGATGGCCTGGCAGGCTGTGGTGAAATCACAGTGGAAAGTGTTGTAGTGGCGGCGGTTGAGGTCGTGGAAGGAGAGCGGAGCTGCAGTGGGGCCCTGCGGAGCGCTGGTTGACTTCTCCATCACCACTGCATTCAGGCTGAATGTCTCAATCAGCAGCGCTGGCTTGAACTCCAGCGGAGGGAGGTTCACCATGCCTTGTCTAAAGATGGAGGGACAGATGGACGGAGAGTTATGTGTGTATTCAGCACACATTCCATACTTACATTGTGTATAGCACATTAAAACACATTAACAAGGAAGAAAAAAATCGATGGAAATTAATCAAATTTTTTTGTTGTTGTAAGATTTATATGATTTATTTTACCTCCTGGATCTTTTGTTCTTCCGCTCTTTGGAGGTGTCAGAGTCGACGATGTCCGCTCTGAGACACTCCAGATTGCCAGAAAAAGACAGGTGCTCTCCAAAATACATTTTGTAACTAAGAGGAGTGGTGTCTTGGGCCTGGATGCCTGTGTAGCTCAGCAAAGGCTTGAAAACAACCTGAGGGTGGAACCAAGATATCAAGCACAAAATGAAGACTCTTTTTGTAGAGGTGAAGTCTTAACTAAGCTTTGATGCTTGCAGACAGAGCTTCAGACACCTACGTATTGAATTAGGATAAAAGTGAATTGAGGCAAGACGAAGGACATGTAGGTCATAGGTGACACTATTAGCATAAAGTAACATTACAACATTTGCAAATTGACTCATTTTAATCGTAAACATTCTGCCTGTTTCCATGCTATCAGCACCAATAAGAAACAATTATTTTACCAATCCTACAACCGCAAATTCACATAATTCTAGACTTATTAAAGAGCTGCAGACATTATGTTAATTGCACCTGAGCGTCAGCGAGTTGAACAGCAGCTGGACACAGGTTTCCCTCCTCGATGTCAGCCATGTCGTCCTGGCTGGTGCTATGCTGGGAGTGCTGGGAGTGGGTCCCGTCCAGGGTGTTCTGGTCACTGGACAGCACCGTGTTGAAGTCTGACGCTGAGGGGATCGTGGGCAAGTTACACGTCCCACCTAAGGGTGGGGAAGAGAGGTTTGGGATACAGTACATGTGATGTGACCAGGCAGGTCCTTGGAGAATATTTTGACACCAGAGCATGTGAGCAGAGGAGCAGTTGGGTGGCAGCCCTTTACTTGGGCGCCAGCAAGTAGCAGCGAGTGAGTAAAGCACTGCAGGATGAAACACTTTACCAATCCAGCTCCACATAACAAATATGTTGGAGTGAATTAAATGGAAGGTAACAATCACATTACAGGGAGTGTTAGGCACAATTTGGAACTCTAAACACACATATCACATTTACTTAATTTGTCTGTGAGGAACTGCTCAAAGGAAATTTGCTGGGCTGTCACTGAATGACACCTGGGTGAGTAGATAAGGCTTATTGTCTTGGGCACAAATCCAGCCTTTCACACACATTATTGTACCAACACATCAGAAGTGCTCTGCTAAATTGTGATGGTAAGATGCATCTTTTCAGTGATCCAAGCAGGTGATTCCAAATATTAAAACTATTATTGAGGGAGAATGAAACAAATGTAGAGTGCAGCTGTTTGCAACTCAAAAGATGAGTGGGAGTACAGAGGAACAGAGGGTGGAAAAGAGCAGCACTGAGAGGGATGAACATAATTTCAGGTCGCTAAACTCCCACTAACATGCTCTGGTTCTCACAGAATGTTTGGCAGGGAGGCAACAGTGAGGAAACAACGTGACTTTATCCATCCATCACAGTAGCACCGCTGCAGGCCTGAAGCACAGTTACATGGAATTCCAAAGACTCGAATAAGCTACCACTTGACTCTTTTTGATATCAAACACATTGTATATCACTAAGCACAGTTTAAATGACAGGCCTGCATGCTGCTGTACTAGATGACCACTAATAACCTGTAAAGCATACAGATTTAGAAACTGCTAAAAGAAAAAGAGCCCTGGTGTTCGATTGGCACTCAATATTAGCCAATAACCCAATGCTAAGTATCTGTAACTCTCTATATGTATTCTATACATAGTGGCTTTAATCCACAATATACAGTATTAATGGTTTAACAGAACTGAGCTGCTGCAATAAATCACTTTCCCATCGGTGTGAACAGGGCTTATCTTCTCTGATTTACACACCAACACCAACAGCACAACTGTTTTCTGCAGGATAGACTGACACAGAGACTGGCACTATTAGACAAACGCAGGGGGTACTACCTAGCTAATTAGTTTACCAACACCATCATCACAACACTGAGCAATAATCTGTGACCTCCTTCTGGACTGTTAGCTGGTGGTAGTGGTTGGTACTGGTAGTGGTTGACAGGAGAATCCAGTGGGTCTAGTAAAACAGCAACATTATATGGACATTTAACTGAATTCCTCAGCTGTTATAGCTACTGTACTAAGAGAACCATGGATGTGTTAACCATCAGGATCTATTCTAACAACATTATTATAAAACATTTTGAAGACAAAAGAGCATAATTTTCTACAGTTTCACAGAAAGGAGTTCAAATTAATGAAATGAATTCTCATCCAAATATTAAGGGATTTTCCGATAAATATACAATGAGGTTTGACAAGTGGAAAACATTCCTCTAAGTCCTCCCACGGTCCACGGTGTCTGACCTGTCTGCAGGCTGTTGTGCTGGGAGCGGTTAACCGGGGAGTCCTGGGTTCCAGCCCCCGTCCTGTTGCCCACAGCGTTGGACATCCAGTTGTAAAAGCTGACGGAGGAGGGCTCTGACAGCAGCGGGTGCTCGGTCAGCATGTCTGTCCCTAAGCTGTTTCCTGAGTCGCAGAAGAAAGAGATTGAGAGCACATTACATCATGAAACAGACTGCAGTAAAACTGGACATCACACAGTGACTGCTGTTCACGGATAACTTTCATCTTGCATCATAGAGGCACATTCGGACAACGTAAGGTTAAATTTGATGATTACAAAATCAGGCAGGGTTTTGTTGATGATCTACTGCGAGGAATGAAAAGATGTAAAAGATATACTTTGGTTTCCTATTTAGTTCCCTCTCTGATGCAGTTTGTTAGACAGTGTTGCAAAAACGTGATAGCAGTATTTCTGCTTACAGGAGGCAAAATGATATCAGCAGGGACTGCAGAATGTTAAGAATGTGAAACAAAGTAAATAACTCATGGCACACTGACTCTGAATTTGTTCACTGTGGGCACGAGCTTGAGGAGGAAACAAGCAGTGTTTTAGTTTATTATTCACTGTATTGAACGGTAGGGGTCAGCCTTGCAGCAGAAATGGCAAGTAGACTTTTACATTGATGTTATAAAAATCAAGTAAGCACTGTATTCTGTTATCGCCAGAGCCTACATACTGTAGTTAGCAGCACTGCAACACAATATTAGTACCTGTGCGAGTTAGGGAGCTGCTCTTGGCGGCAGTGGCAGCAGACGGTTCGTTCCTCTGGGGCATGCCCTCGAGCAGGTTGTGCAGACTCCGAAAGCTGCCTGTCAGATTGCTCAGGAGGCTCTCCTTCCTGGGACTGTCCTTGGCTGGCATGCCTGCGCGGCTCACATGGGCCGGTGAGTCAGCTGCCGTGTCACCGCTGGTGTAGCTCAGCGACTGGTATGGATGGGAGCCCTGGGTATGACAAATGTACAGATTACTGACAGGAGGTCACGTCCACACCATAGCACTGGCTGTGGCTTTTTATATTTGACAGATGAGTGGGATACATAGTGACAGTCATGATCCAAGGCGGAAATAGTCCAAAGTTGAGGTAAGACTTTTTTGACAAAGGAGCTGAATAACCTCGACAGACCCTGAGATGTTATAAACAAACACGTTACAGTTGAGTTTGGCAGGGAGTGCAGCTTTGATCCGACCTGCAGTTCCAACAGTGGAATCACCTTCACACCACAGTGAGGACCGCACTGTCTGCTGTGAAATGCCACATTCCTTTAAAGTACTCCATAACATTCACATCAGCAGCGTTCTTCAAGGCTGCAACTAATGATTACTTTAATTTGTCTGAGCAACAATCCAAATGCCAAAGGGATTCAATTAGAGCCAATGAATGTTTGTTTGTAAAAATGTTAATGGTTTCATCAAAACTGATGCTGATTAATTTTCTTTCTATCGACTGATCAACTACTCATTTCTAAACTATAGTGTTTTTGGTTTATTTGATCAGATTAGATTTTAAGATTTTGCATGTACTGGTAACCTCTCATATTCTTTAGTGTAACACTCACTGGACGAGTAGGCTGGATTTTGCACACTGTTACTGTTACTATGCAATCTGGTTTTCACACAGTGCAGTACAGTTCAGGTATGGAAATTTGCAGAGCTCAAACAATCAATCGATTATAATAATCAATTAGTTGACCAACAGATTATTTAGCTTGACAATCAATTAACTGTCTGAATCATTTTTAAAAGCAAAAATGGCACAAAAAAATCCCTGCCTGTAGCTTCTTAAAGGTGAATATTTTATCATTTTTCAGTGTTCTATGACTGAAAACTTAACATCTTTGGGTTGCGTACAGTTAGTTGAACAAAACAAGACATTTAAAGACAACATCATGGACTCTGGAGACTTATGGCCATTTTTCATTGTTCCTAAAAATGTATAGGTGAACAACTGAGAAAAAAAAAGGATAATGGAATTAATGGTATTTGCAGCCCTAGAAATGTGTATGTGCATGTATACATTGCATTCATTGGGTACACAATTTCATGCAACCCGATATGGATTTACAACAGATAACTGAGACACAAAGACACACTTATTCTCAAAGCTGTACCTTTATCCTGAGTGCAGACTCATTGTGAGTGTGGGACTTGGACAGTTTCCTCATGATCTCCACTCCGCTGACAGGACCCGAGTTCGCTTCTTTAGGCGGGGGGCGACTGCATGCTCCCTCCAGCAACATGGTGTGTTCACTCACTGTGGCTTCACAATAATTACATCAAATAAAACTCCTAGAAGAAGCATGTGACTGCTATAAAAGTAAAAATCTCTAAAAGTCTAAATCTCCTTTCTGATAACAAGTGATAACAGGCACAAATTAAATCATTTAATTTCTGCGCAAACACTGAGAAGTAGAGGTTAGGAGCTTCACAGTCCATCTGTGGTAACAGATGGGTGGATCAAAATAATATTAACACGCTGAAAGCTGTAAGTTCCCACCTGCGTCAAATTCAAATTCAGCTCCATCGGCGCTGGTGTCACTCTGCAGTGCAGCGCCGTTGTCCAGGCCTAAGATGGTCTCACCCAGACTCTGCTGAGGCTCCTTGGGTTTGGTGAGCTGGTTGGGCCTCATCAGACCAATAGCTTTGAAGCCCTGAGTTACCACAATGAATTTCATCCACTGTCTGGCCAAAGCTACCAGGCCTTTCTTGAGAGTCACAAGTGCTGGAACGCCGTCATTCTGGGATGAAGAGGAGGAGAAAAGAACTGGATTGGTGCCACTGATAGAGATACAATTAAAATAGTAAAGGGGAGCCAACAACACTCAAGACCACTTAAAATAATTGCAGGCTGTTGTCCAAATGAAACCATATAACATCAGTTTTAACAGCCATTCCACTATACAGGGTCGAGTTGGAGGGTTTCCTGAAATTGATGGGAAAGAAGAGATGAAGAGGCCTCTCACTGACCATGGTAGCCTCCTCTATAACTGAGTAGTCGGCTTGCTGCAGATAGCGGTGAAGGATGTTACAAAGCATACAGGAGGGATTCTCATGCAGGTAGCGAGCACGTTTGGTCACTCGGTTGTACTTGCTCCGGATGGGGATGTGGATGCTCTTTTTCTGTTGGGGAAAGACAAAAAGAGCTATAAAGTGCACATAAAAAAAAAAAAAAAAAATAGATGTTGGGTTTGGGATAAAACAAAACATTCTTCATATGTGACATTCGTTTGGGTCTACAGATGTCATGCTGACCTCCAGAGCTTCCGTCATGATGCAGCCCATAACAGCACACACTCGCAGTGTGCCCTCCATGTCCAGTTTGCGTAGAGAAGATTTGAGCTGGTCGATTGGAACCAACCAGGCTCCAATAGCAGGTGTGGCTGTGCTGAGAAGATTTAACTGCCTGTAAACAGAGAATCCATTATCACCTCATAATAACTATTGATCAAAATATCTTAAAATATATTTATACTTCTGTTTTTCCTCCTGTTTCGGATAATATGCTAATGGTTATAACATATGTGTTCTCATAATGTCAACAGCTTTTGCCATTTTTTCTCTCACAATGGTTAAAAATTAATATTTGTGGCCTTATTCTCCACCGCAGACACCAGGTACATTGTGCACTTGGTTAGTTGAGTTATAAGAAAACTTAAAACTCAGAATATACTTGCAGGTTTGGTAAGTTTGATGACCTGAGAGGCTGACAAGTCTGCATCAGCAGCAAAGTTGACAAGGGTTGACAACCATTGCCAGGGGCACCCAAGAGAGGATTCTCATAAAAAAAACCCTCTCCAACAGATAATATTGTACTTATCACACTATATCACCTTCACACCACTGGTATTAAAAGTGAAAGAGTAGTGAGCTTGCAGTACTGCAGTCACAGGATGGTGAAATGTGGTTGCTTTTTGTCTGAACTTGGTCTGAAAAGGGCTCATTTCGCATATGTGCCCTAGAACCCTATGCAGTTAGCCATAATGACTATTATAGGTGGCTACTTTCTATGTTTACCTAGTCAGACTTAAAGATGTTTTTGTTTCGCGCATAGGTGACGCATTAGCACAACCCACAGAGAAACATTTAAGATAGATAGATAGATAGATAGATAGATAGATAGATAGATAGATAGATAGATAGATAGATAGATAGATAGATAGATAGATAGATAGATAGATAGATAGATAGATAGATAGATAGATAGATAGATAGATAGATAGATAGATAGATAGATAGATAGATAGATTATACTTTATCCCGAGGGAAGTTCAAGTTTATACATTTATACGTTTAAAATATACCAGAATTTCCCTTTAACTATGTATTATCTTATTTGTGCAGTTTTAGCACAAATCATAAACTAATTATGTGTAAAGAGGTCCATATATATGAGTGGAGTCATACCTGGAGATGGCCTGTGAAGGTGAACGCACATTAGTGGGAGCAGCAAAACTGAACCAGATTTCCCTGATGGTTAGTTTCATGCTGCTGGAGTCAGGAGGCGGGGGCATGAGGGGGAGGTCTTTCTTCAGGTCGTCTGACTCCACCCCTTCATCCTACAGAGCAAAAGAGAACCGAGTTTAACTGGTGGATAAGAGCGACCTGTGGGAAGGAGTTCTAGTACGGCAGCTCTGGAGCCACAACTCATCACTTTCATCCTGAATACAACTTTGATTTGCCATCATGACTTATTTTCAAGATCAGAATGAATATCCCCTAGTCTGATGACTTTTAATGTCTTTCTTCTCATTCTGATCAGGCTTTAGCTGATTATTTTGAGTAGATGTAATTGTTTTAATACACATCTGAACCTTAATGAACTAATTTTGTGTGAGCACGACATTTACTCAAATCTGAATCAAAGACTGGCTACAGGCAGTGACATTTGCATGTTTGCAGAATGAAAAATCTGAAAATGAAAATGAAAAAGAAATTTTGATTCACACTGGCACATTAGAGCTTTAATTCTCTGTCAAGAAGATCACATCTACCTGCACTTTCTGTGACATGTTTTTTCAGTAACAGGTGCAGATGAAGAAATCGTCTTTCAGAGAATTCATTTTGTCCTCACACACTTTTTCTATGGCTATGACACTCCATTTTCATGGCAAGAATTTTGAAGCTGAAGTAAATAATGCAGAGTTTAAGGTTTGGATAAGGTTGAAGTAGATTTTACGTAGTTTCTTTAACCTGAACACAAAAAATATTTGCCACTTCACAGCAGCTGGAGCAGTCACCTGGTCGTCTGAGTCCGAGTGTTCATTCACATCGGAGGAAGGGCTGATAGCATCGTGCGGGAGGTTGTCATCAGAGACGTCGGTGCTGTAACCACTGCCTGTCTGAGAGCCTGTCGAGCCATTGGACTTAGACATACCCGTCTTCCCCCCAGTGTCTGAACGTCCCATCACACCAAATGAATTATAAAGGATGGCTCCTGACTGACGGCCCCCTGAAACACAAAGTGTATTACATTCATAAATCAGTACACAAATTCCGTACATCCTTCTTGGTACAACTCATCTTTGAGTTTTTCATATCCTTGAGTTTCAATTTACGTGATGACTTGTGCTCAGAGAGTTTGGGATGTTTAACCTTTGACTGTGAGGTTCTCAATGCCACATTCAAACATAATCCAGCCCCATTTCTCCAGAGACGCCGTGGAACGGCCGAGATCGCCCGCTGTGGCCTGGGCATCGGTTTCATCCACCAGTGAAAACTCTTCCAGTTCCTCTAGGCCAAACAGCACTTTGGACTTCTCAAAAGGGATTGCTGTGATGGCACACGTGCCAATGTCTACGAAAAGAGAAGAAACAACATAACTGTTTATAAACTTTACTGCAATAGGACAGAAAAGTGCATCAGGAGGAATCTCAAAAAAGAAGCATTTTAAAATAACTTTATGATGCACAAAATGTGCAAAAAGTCAAGTGGTCTAAATACTTTTGCTTGCTACTGTAGGTCAAGGAAGGGCTTTTTCACACTGTCTGGGGACAACTCGTGCAGCATATTAACAAAGAGGTTGTCGGTTATCTAAAAGGTCAGTGAACCACTTCAAAAAGTGGCACAAGGGATCAAACCGGGCTGTCATTATCCTGAACAAACCTGTGGAGTCGAGGCCTCGCAGCTGGCTGTGGATGCGGTGGATGTTGAGCCTGGCGGCGATCTCTTTGCCTTTCTCAATGCCGGCGTTGGAGCGCAGCGAGCCAGAAGACTGAGGCTGCATCTTGGTGGCCGAGGCGTACTTCTCTAACATGACCGATGGCCGGCCATGTTCTGTGGTGTTGGGTGTCTCCTCTACAATACCCCTGTAAAGAGCAGGAAGGAAATGTGTGTTTTTATTTGAGCTTGGCTGCTGTTGTGGAGTCTGTTGTGGAATAAAATCTGAGTTCTTTAAGTTAATTATTTCCAAAGATTACAACCCTACCTACTATTGACTAAAATGACTAAAATGACAATAAAGCATGTAAAGCAGGTATATTTGCCCTGAGCACATAAATTCCAAAAAGGTTAGTCATTGTACAGACAAAAACAGTGACATGAGGAGTAGTCGATGCATTACCTGTTCATTCTGAACTGGGTGGCAATCCTGTCGAAGCACAACGCCACAAGAGACACATGTGTGACGCACTTATTGGAGCAGGACGGTGAGCCCTCCTCTACAGAAGCTTGCAGGAGGCATAGGTTCACCTGCGGGAGGGGAAAACACAACAAAAAACACAAGTAAACCAAACTGAACTAAACCCACTTTGCTATAAAATATTGTTTAAAAATAAATTGTGCTATGAACATAAATAATAGCGATGGCCCACAAGAAGCTCTTTAAAAAGACAAATTATTGCTCTACAGGGATGAATACGGTAATAAACAGATTAGTAAAACTGTGTGTGAGGCTATTTTTCTCAAATGTAAGTCTTTCTTGGTATTTTTCTATATGAAGATATACAGAGGGTAACAGAAAAATCAATATTGTAATAGTAACAAATGAGAAAACTGTATTCTGTATCCACTCAATTTTTTAGTGTAAAAACACATTAACTTCCATTCAGTTAAATAAACAAAGAAATAGTTTTGATAGTACAGGCCACATTCCATAGTTGTATGGCTTAATAAACTGACCCACCATCATTATTCTACACAAAAGCTGAGCGCATTGTTTATTCATTGTTCAAATGTAAAGTGATCTAAAGCAACGCTCATGATTCTGCGCTGTCTCTCGAACCTCTCTCGGTCAAAGCACAGTTTGAGGAACGCTGCTGGCCTCTCATTATTCGGGGTCATGGCTCTTACCTTGGGGATAGAGACGTTGGCTTGGAGGCCCTTGATTTTCACATTATCCGGTTTGACGGACAGGTCTGTCTGGCCATGGGAGATGTTGAGGGAGCCAGGGGTCGTGCCCTCCGTCTTGGACAGCTTGTGCTCCTGCTTGGCTGTTTGGCTCTGTGTGGATCCAGATCCAAAACAGTCATTGGGTAACACAGACACTTTTTAATTGGGAAACTCAAAAACATTTAGAATAGAAACTTTAATAATTGACTGATAGATTTGAAGAATCAAAGCTTAATAACACTCAATATTTAGCTGTATGTCAACATTCAAAATATAAATATAAATTATAAAAATGATTAACATATCAAGCTATATTGCTCTGCTGTATGCATTTTTGTACTTACAGACTCAGTGACTGTGGACTTGCTGATCTGATAGGCTTCATTGAGGACTTTCCCATGCAGGTCATCCAGAATGGCAGCAGGATGACGGATACTGGCAAAGTGGACCATGGACTCGATGTACCTGAAAGACACCAAACAGACAGACAGCTGTAATAAACCCCCCAAAAATCACAAGGTTATAAATATAGTTTTATTTAGTTTATATCTGTAAAACACCAAGATTTAGATATAAAAATTGCCCTTTTCAAGTATAATCAAATTTAGTATGTCTATGTCTAGCCAATGTTCGAGCTACAGTTTCCCTCCACACTGCTAAACGCTTGTAAGACCGTCGTAAAGGCAGCACTATTAGCCTTTTGGCAAACTAAAAGATTCACAATGGTAGATAACCAAGAGCGAGCTCAGACTCTGAAGCACTGTCAGCAGAATTTTAGATCCAGATGCAGCGTGCATAGAGATTAAAATGGCTTAAGGTCAAATCTTAGCTCCAGGCTACAAAATAAAAAAACCTTAACTAAAAATGTGCAGTGTGAGAAAGAAGGACAAGTTATTTCATTTTATCTAATCAGATTTTTCAAACTCAGATCGAAAACCGCGTTTTAAGGGGGGATGTGGTCAATAAAGCCGCGGAGCAAAAACATTATTAACACACACACACGCACACACACACACACACACACACACACACACACACACACGCACGCACACACACACACACAGCTATAGTTATTACCTGTCCAGGGATTCGGCCACAAGGGGCGTGAGCACAACATTGATGGCTCCCTTCACCTCCACGATGGCAGTGGTCCTGGTCTGAGCTAAAGGCTGCTCCAGAGTCCAGTCATCTGTCGTCGTCTCCTCATCTGTGTTCTCCATCGCCCGCTTATCCAGTGGGGTATATGGTGTACTGTGGAGGAACAAAGAGACAACCTCGGGATCATCAGTTATGTATAAATAATACAAAACACAGCTACTTGTGGTTGCCACTTGAAAAAACAGTGTGAGGCAGTACATCACTTGGATGCTGTTGGGTGATGTTTTTTTTTTTACTATAAATTTATTGGGTAAGAAGGCTGAAAACAACAAATACCTGTTGCTCTCTCCCATCAGTTGAACTCCCCTGTCCAGTAGAGAGCTGGCTGAGAGGCCCTGCTTTATCACCTGTAACATAAAGGAAAATGTTACACCTCCAAACTGATGTATTGGGTGTTTTAGAGATGGATACTGTTTAACCATTTTAACAGCAAATACAAAGACAACATAGTCAACTATAGTTAGTGGAGAGTTTAACTACAGTATTACATGTTGAAGGACTCAATAACTTGACTGGTATTTAGTTGTCAAAGACCTTAAAGCTTGGGACAGAGAGCTGGTCAAAGGAGCCAGAGCTTTCCTCGCTGGTGGGCGTGTCCAAATCTAGGGGGCGATGCAGAGAAGACTTGGAGGTCCTCTTATTGGTTGGCTGCTTGACAGACCAATTTGAGACCTGGCAGAGGTGAAGTAAGGAGTGTTTTAATTGGACGTCATAACGGTGAAAATTAATTAACAGGCAAGGCAACAGTGCGGTTTCAGGCTCAGCACTGTTTTTATATGTTTTTTAAATAACACAAAGCAGATACAAGTATTTATATCACTATATACATGGACAATTGTGAAAGGCCTTACCTGGTAGTGGGCTAGGTAGCTCTGGTAGCACGCCATGACGTGGGGCTGGCGGGTCACAGGGCCAGGTTCAGCTGTCTTCTCCGCCTCCACTGAGCTCTCCTCCTCCATGGCCAGGGCCGAGACGAAGGAGGCCTGAGACGTGTGGCTGGGTAGGGGCTGTTGCGGCAACGGCGGGAGCATTGGGGGCAGGGGCAGGGGACGTGGCTCAGTGATCAGCTCCCCATTGAGAACGTAGGTGAGGGGACCCTCGACACTGTGGTAGATGGAGCTCCGGCTGCGGGCAGAGTCAAAATATTTACACATGGGCATCACATGAAAATGAATATTTAAGCCAGTTATAGCAAAAATCACTCGGTCATGTAAACAATGTCGACATTAACCTCCTGCTGAACAAAATCTATAGTATATAGATGTATATAGTTTTATTTTCTTGAATTTAGTCTTGTTTTCATTGGCTTGTGCCAATTGAAACCTTTCATGAAACAGAATTGATTATTTGTGTTTGTGTGGGGGCTGTATCAATCAAAAAGCGTGCTGAAATCAATGTGAGAACATTGTGGGTAATAGAAAAATGACAAGGTGGCTGTAGAACAAGACCGAAATCCAATTTGCAAAACACACCAGCTGTAAGTGGCTGCCCATGGATCAAACATCTCATTTGCTACAACCCTTTTACATCACATGTGCCCTCGCACAACTGAATCAAAGTAATAAATGAAAGCTGCAACGCGTTAAGCTTTGGGGCAAGTTGCTTAACACGATGAAATGCAAAACTTTTTGCGTATCAAACATAAAAAATGTCATAACATTGTTAATGTATTCCTGCATATTGTGCCACATACATTTTACAATCGCTGCAAATGTCAGTGTGAGTCATCAGAAGTTAGACGGAATTGTTTACTGCCTGTTTTTCCTTCCAATCAAAATAGTGTTACAGAGCTCGTTGTTACAGTAACTCCAATACATTTGTTTTTTCTGCTCAAAAGGAAAAAGGTTTCTAAATTATATGCCTGTAACTCCAGCTACCATGAAACAGAGAAAAGGCAATATATATATATATATATATATATATATATATATATATATATATATTATATTGCTCTATTTAAATAGTTGGAATATAGTTGGGTTTTTTTTATCTTATTTTGTAAAATATTAAAATTGTGATTTATAGCGACTCCCGTAGAGGTTAGAGTAGATGCTGCTAGCATCAGATATATCAGAACTGGAGAGCATTTCTTCATTGAAAGAAGAGCAAACAAAGACATGTCAGGCTTTTCGTAATGGAAAAGATGTTTTAGCACATCTCCTGACTGACTTCGAGTCTGATTACGTAATATGGTTTGTAGATCTGATTGGTTGAAGTTCGCCTGTGATAGACAGAGTTCATCCAGTCACCAACCAAGTATTTTTTGCCTGTCCTTTCCTAAACAGTTTCCAATGACGATTTCCCAGTAACATCCTTAAAGGGAACTGACAAATTGGAGACACTTAATAAAAAAAAAATCTAACGGCAGCATACATCACAGCCTTAAAATGTAAATCATGAATCAAAACTCCTTCAGAATGGCCCCTTTAACATTATTTAAAAGGGTAACACTGCAAGCAATCTGGCAAGGTCAGAACTTGCTAGATGGGTCATTAATTCATCTGCTCTTACAGATGAGAAACGAGAGACTCTTTGATGTTACTGAGAGCTGTGAGCTGTCTCGACTCTACCGTCGCCTTAATCCTGATCTTAACCTTGTACTTGATCTGACCAACCACCCATTCTCCTTTTAAATTTTCAAACTCTTCAACTTTGAGAACTTTTGTGAGTTTCACTGAAGCCATGCTTCACTTCTAAAGTCACTTCCACGCTCAATTTTCTAAGTACATCATCTAAGCTGACCTGTAGTTCTCCATGTGATATGGGGGCTGCTGTGGCTGCTGCATCTGCTGCCTCCTCTTCTTCTTGCGGCCTGGGTATGTTCCTGGACCCTCATCGGCGCTGCTGATTGGCTCAAAGTCCTCAGCAGCAGAGAAATAGGCCTCGCTGTCGGCCACAGACATGCTGGAGTCTGCAGAGCGGTACTGATGGAACGTGTTAGAGTCCGCAGAAGGTGTAAAGGGAAACGAGCCATAGCTCCTGCGCTGACGCGGCGAATCCAGGACATTTTCGTCACTGCGGGAAACCTCGCTGCTGAACTGGACGCCTCCAGACAGAACTGGCGGAGGCTTGTCGGTGAAGACGGCAGCTGACAGGCTCTTGGTGCTGCCCAATCGACCTGAGTGGACAGAGGACTGGCGCTTGAGAGGGGAGCAAAGGGGTGAGCGCACTGAGGACCGGTCCTGGGAGCTGTTGGGTGACACTGGCGAGACCTCTGGGACCTCCCCTAGGGTGCTGCACAGAAAGAGGAGAAAATAAGTAAATACACCCAGGCTGAAAATCCTGCTTGTGTTTCCTAAATGCTTTTTTTCCAAAATACATCACATATGTAACTTATAGTATTCAGACAACAGACTGATGTTTTGAATGTTACTCACTCAGCAGGGCTTTTGCCATTCATGGGGAACATGCGTTCCTCTGTGCTTGGTGAGGGAGTGTCCCTCTCTCCAGCCAGCAAGGGCAAAGCAGCACTCGAGGAACTATTTTCTTCAGAGGAGGAGGCAGAGCTGTGGGAGCGTTGGGGCACCTGAAGACTGAGGTGTTGCTGACCACGCCTCTCAGGCAGCTCAGGAGGCAGGCACGGCGAGTGTGTATCCGTCTTCAGTCCCACAACTCTCCCTGAAAAAACACATATTTGGTTTAGTAATAGCGGATTCTTCCAGACATTTTTGTCTTGTATCAGAGTTTTACATACACTGTGTATTTCATAGGGAGCTGGTCACACCACTAAGATGGTCGATTAGGTAGACAAGATAACGATAAAAAGCTTGATATACTACCATATAATGTATAACATTCTCCTGTAATTAACCCCTGAATAAAAAAAGACCTAGTCTTACTCCCAGGGGTCTCTGTATAGGAAGCAAAGCTGTTTTAGTAATAAATTAAACATTGTGGATTTTAACTTTTCTTAATTTTTTCTTGTGATCCGCAAAAAAAACCCTCAAGCAACTCTGGGGAAAAAAAAGGAAATGAGGAAATGTATATTAAATCTATGCAAATCCATACCATCCACTTTGGGTGTTTCCTTGGTAATAATCCACTCCCCTGGCTGTAGCAAAGACTGCCCATAAGACATGTCTGACTCAGTGCTGGAAGAAGAGAACGCCGATGAGGAGGAGGGTGTCAGCTCTTCAAGCTTGAAGAAGTCCAGCCCCATGTTCGTACCTCCAAAGAACCTGCAGCCTCCAAGGCAGCCACAACGGTTCCTGCTGCGCTTGTTGCGAATACCAGCATCTTCTGGCCATAGAAACCAGAGTCTTAGGAGAAAACAGGAAAGGTGAGAGATGATCAAATAGAATGATGACCAATGCAGCAAATAAAAACAGACATGACACTTGTAGAGATTACAAGAGTTTGTCCATTCTTTCAGGAATACCAGACACTTGCAGATCAAATGTTAAAAAAAAACAAAACAGGCATCTACTCCTTCTACCTCATTAAAAATTCCTGAATATATATGAATAGGCAAAACTTTCTAAAATTTTTCCTGTTGGATGTTCCAAGATGTCTCCTCCTTCACTGTAAAGTCCATTCTTATAGGCTATTTCCACCATCAGGGAACTAGCTCTGTTCCATTTGACGCACCTAGTTTATGTGTGTTAAAAAAAACAAAAATTAATTGTTTCAGAACCTGAAAAGTTGGTTCCCAATTAGAACCAAAACAACAGCAGGGTTTTCAATGGGAACCAAAGCGGGTGTGTCATGTTCTACACGTTATTGTGCAACACCTTCTGTTGATGACATATCCCCGATTACAATGGTTCTGCTCATAACTGGTGGAAACGTGGGATGGTTCGCTAGATAGCAACAAGGTTCCCAGAATCTTGAACTAACTAGAGTTAATTTGGTGGAAAAACACCATCAGTGTATGCACACTGGTGGCTTCAAGGTTCTACATCACTCTTGTACAAGTTCCAAATTGAACCACGATCGACTTCTAAAACATGCTTGTTGGCTTGTAGGCTTAAAAACAGCGGAGGGGGGACTTATTATCTCACTTCACTATCTCACTCTGATCATCATTTATTTTTGTTCTTTTAAGTTTCCAGAATTTGGTTCTGCATTAGCATACACTCCCAGAACCCTGAATATATACCATTACCATTTCTCATAACACACATACATTAGCTTTTATCTAAAGTAATAAGAAAGATCAGGTCCAATTTAGAGCTAGACAAGAAACTGATAATGGTTTCCTGCAGACCTTTAATGAGATCTTGAATTATTATGTTGAATCTATTATCACAGTAGTTGGCCAGTCTGCCGCTGATTATCACATATCATGAGCTGGATCACTGTATACGACAAGAGAATAATCAATCTGGTTTTGCTTTAATATATGTGCTTGACATTATGAGCTGAACATGACTGTGTCAGTGACTCATCATACAGAGGTGTGACAAATGTAGGAATCCTTTCTACACACACACACACACACACACACACACACACACACACACACACACACACACACACACACACACACACACACACACACACACACACACACACACACACACCACACACACACACCCACACACACCCACACACACCCACACACACACACCCACACACACCCACACACACACACCCCCACACACACCACACACACACCCACACACCCACACCCACACACACACACACACAATGTGAGAAGTGCTTGGAAAAGTAGATTTGACAGACTGCAGTGTGTACCTTTTGGTCTGAGCATCATGTAGCTCCAGAAAATGCCGCTGAACTTCACATTTGGCTGGGTGGTCAGCGGCCAGGGCAATGTCTGCTGTGATGAGGTTCAGGTTGACCGAACCTGCCTCCAGCCAGACAGAGCGTCGCAGCAAAGGGGGCTGACCGAGACCCAGCGGCTGACCCGGACCTTGACCTTGTCCGGCCGGCTGTAGCCTGGTCGCCTCGCTGTGCTGCTGCTGTTCAATGTACTGTCGGATGTTTACGTCTTGCACCACGGCGCTGATGCCCTCCCCCACTGCCTGGTTGTGGAGGTTGCAGTTGGCTACGCGGATGATAGCCGTCTGAGGAGGGAAAAAGACAGGAAAAACGTTAGCTCTTTATAACACATGACATGAAAAATGTATAAACTGACAGGTAAACGAGAAAAAGTTGTTGCTAATTACCTTGATGTTAGCAGCACAGCCATGCTCCACAATGAAGAGGTCAACTCCATCCATGGCCAGTCGGGTCATGGTGTACTTCACTTCCTCTGATGTGCGACAGTGACCTGGCAGGCAGCTCATCTGAAAGACAACCAGAAACTTTTCAGTGCTTGCAAGGAAACCATCTCCAATTTAGTCTGGCTGTGCTTTACATACCATAACAGAGCCTGTAGCCACAGCTGCTCAGTTGTCAGAAACAAATGAGGGCCCTCAGGCGCAGTTTTTAAAAATATCCTTGTTAGTATTCGCATACAAACAAGACATTTTGTCAAACAGACTTGTTTTCTCTCCACGTTATTTCACACATCATGGTGTTGCGTAGGTATGCGATATATGGCGGCTGTGAGTAAATCAATAGCTGTGTGTTAGAAGCTCTTGTTCCGTTTCTACAGCTGTGTAAAAGTTTACCTTTGTGAGTCATGCATCATTAGAGAAGGTGGCCACAGTGGTCTGTTTTTATTATCTAATGCCATTTGCAGTTCTGACCAACATTCAAATCTCACACACAAAAAGAAAGCCTTCAGCCATGATGAGCTAATTTAGTAGCTTCAAGCATGAGATTCAGACAGACACAGCTGCTAACTAGACAGCCATGACAGTGAAACTGGGAAAAATGATGCCCAGACCTTGTGCAGCATTTCACTGTATACCGTCCGTTTGTACCTTGGCATCACAGATGCGACGGTCAGCGCCATGCTGGCAGATGACGGAGGGCTTGGGTTGTTCCAGCTGGAACTCTCTGGAAACCCCGTGGAAGAGAAAATTCTCAGCCCACTCTATGATACTGGCCACCTAATAATCACAAACACACAAAATTAGCACTTCAAAAAAAAAAAAAAAATCAATAAATATATTTACAGTAAGGGAAAATTAAAAAAACTGGATTAAAAAACAAGAGTAAAAATTGTCACTGTGTGGGTGGACAAAGAAAAAAGAAAACATTAAAACAACCGAATAAAATTGAATATAACACCACCACAAGCTACAACATCAAACATTATCAATCATCCTGATACAGTCTTCACAAAAACTTAACATTACAAATTACAAAAGGTATTGTGTTGTATTACACTGAACAGAAAACACATTTTGAATAGTACTTTACCACAGTCACACCTACTCCGCTGACCTGAAGAACTATGACATAATCGTAATCTAAGACTGCACACATTTATCGCCTCCACATTCCAAAACACCCCTTTACTTTAACTAATCAAACACACTCACCTGTGGAAGAGTGACCCTGCCGGTGAGCCCCCCAGCCTGCATGTCGATGAGCCAGGCATACTCCAGCGTGTCACTTCCCAGGGGGAGACCCTGAGCGGAGAACATGGCATGGGCCCTCATCTGCAGGCCAGACAGACTCAGGTGGCCGTCCCTCAACACCCCGTCCGCTGTGGGACGCTGTAGGCAAAAGAACGGAGTCGCACACACATATATTTTCTCACATACGTTTTTAATCTTACATCACTGCTTTGTAAAGTGTTGATTAACTGACAGAAACTGAACATGAAGAAAATTTCAGGTTCAGCTAAAGTAAAATTAATTCCATAGTATCCCTGCACGTGCCATAGATTAGAGCTTGTTATCTCACCGGAGGAGAGAGACGAAAGCTACACATTCTTTGTCAGGGATTATACAAAGATATTCACTCTGAGCAGCAAATGGGATCCAACTAAAGCTAAAGATTAGAAAATCTGTGTGGTTATACAACACACAGGTGCTTATGCAAACATGTGGCTGGTGAAAAGCATGTTTCACATTATGCAACACCGACCTGCAAGCTTTATTCAGGTTATTTTGTAAAGACTGAGTCATACCTTCAGTTACCAGATTAAAGAGTAGTTGTTTTTGTATGAATTGTTTAGCATGTTTACCCCTGAGAAGAGCCAAATAGTTTAAGTTTGTATTGTTGAGCCAGATTACACTGCTCTTGCATACACTTCCAAATTAAAATCAGAATCATTTTGTGTGATTTCAGCTGCTTCTACCTGCATCTGGATCTTTTTCTTAAGTGATTTCCTACAGATAAACTCTAAAAATAGGCAATGACTGCCAAATTATGCAGCACATCACACCAGGCACGTTTAGTTGTGTTTCTGACCTGGTAGTTGTCACTGAGGAAGATGTGAATGGGAGACAGGAGCAGCTGAAGCATCGTCTCCTTGTAACCCTTTTTCATCTCAAAACACAGCCGCTCCAGGAAGCCGGATGGACCTTCGGGACCCTCGCTGCTGCAGTGCTGGAGGCACCGAAAAAAAGCAAGAAAACATGTGGGCTCATGCATCAAGCTGTTTTCATAAACATAAACACACATTCACTCAAAAAAGGCATGGCTGGCAGGTTTGAATCAAAAAATGATTCTGTGCAAGCCAGGAAACAAATTATTGTTAATAAAGTTGACTTAAATGTATATCTACACTCTTTACTTGAATGCTGACTGTGTACAATCTGCTTACATACCGCCATACTTTTCTCATGTGTTCTCTTCTTTTGTAAATTGCATAAAGTTTCTTGACATTTTTTATCTATTTACATGCATTATATTTATATTATACATATTTTTTATTTTCATGTCTCTAGTGCACAGCTTGCATACATACATTAGTGCAGTTTCATCATTTGCATTTCACAGTGTACTGAATATCATCTTTGATTATACTTATACTCTCTCTCTCTCTCTCTCTCTCTCTCTCTCCCCCTCTCTCTCCCCCTCTCTCTCCCCCTCTCTCTCTCCCTCTCTCTCTCTCTCTCCCCCAAACCACTACACTGAACTACTGGCAGTTATCGGTTTTACCATTGGCAGTCGGCCATGGACTTTGTAGAGGTTGATGTACACAGTGATGTCCCAAGGGCGCAGGTCCAGTGGATGGATGTCTGAGGTTCCCTTCTGTTCGCTGTCTTCCATCCCCAGAGGAGACCAACCGAGCCCCGAAGAGGTGCATGTGGACAACACAGGGCTGGATACTGCCTCCTCAAAGTCTGTGTACATGTCGTCCTCGCCAAAATAATTTTCCTGTGACGACAGATGAAAGGGAGGTTAGATAAATGAGCTGTTTAATAAATTGTAGACTTGTAGACTGACTCATTAGACCAATTAATTTATGGTGCTTTCATTATTAATCCAAAAACTACACTGAGCATGCTCACTATTAAACTGAACTACTGATTACATTAACTGCAACTATGTCAACAACATCTAGAGCTGTACCTTGATGGAAATCAGTGCTCGGAGCAAAGGCCCGTAGAGGATGATTTGAGAATCTGGGGACATCTCCATCTCAACGTGAAGCCTGTCGGGGGGTAGCTCCGAGGGGTCAGCGGGCACCCGGGTGTGGGCAGCTGAAGCAGACGTGGAGGTGTAGCGTGGCTGGGCATTGTGGGGTACCGAGGTGTGTTCTGGGGGACGCAGAGCTGACAGCATGGATTCTTCCATCTCGGACACTTCAGACACGAATCACAGGCAGGTTAGACAACATTATGTAAAACAGGGTGGTAAGACATTAGGTAAGGTGACTGAGAAAAGATTTTTAGTTAACATTTCTTGCACAGCCTTATGGGTTGCTTTAGAGCGGACAACAAAGAATTGATACGAGAGCAGTGAGCTTACACGACTGTTTGAGTTGCTCATCAGCCTTCTGGGGATAAATGGGGTGCCAGGTGTATTCAATGATGAGCAAGAAGTTGGGCACACTCCAGCAATCCACCCAGCCGGCTCTGATGTAAGGAAGAAAAACATGTGCGCTCAGCAGACAGTCATAATGCTGAGTTTATCATCATTTCAAGTGGATTTTCCAGTTCATCGTTCGCTTTATGAACCGAGGGCCGAGGACATACAGGAGAGGCGAAGAGACGGCAAATGGGTCGCGCCTGATTTCTCTGCAGCACAGAGTGCACCAGTCCAGACAGGATTCGATCGTAACCTCCCAGGGGGTAAGTGGGTCTCTCGCAGTGCTACATCAGTATAGTCTGGCTCTGGGTTATACATAATAAATGATCTGGATGTTGAGTTATTATGTACAGAGTGCACTATACATTGCTACCCAACTAGCAAAGGTTCTCCGGCAGCTCTCTAAACTTCCACTGACCTTCAGGATTGTGCCTACAATGTGGTTTGCAACATTCTCCAAAAGGGCTGTAGAGTAAGATGGATCTAGAACATTTCTACACATAATAAAGGGTCTAAGTTTAAAAACACATCACAGGTATGACATCACTGGTGCAAGAAAAGACAGAGTTTATATGTCTTCTCTATATCTTAAATGTGGGATATCGAAAAAATTTAAAAGTTAGTTTCTTTAACATTTTTCACACAACTGAGGATGCTGTAACAGAATCTTGTCCGAACAGAGCACAATTCAAACAATCAAATTACACTTCGCTTAAAACCAACAGAAAAGGCAACTATTGAACTAACTCACTTGAAATTACCACCTACTACCATGGCGATTTCCTTCTACCTAAGCTCTGATGAGAGTCAGTGTTACAACGATGAATCATCCTGCTCTTTGCTAACACACTCACTTTTTGCCCACAACTAGAGAGAAATAATTCCCAGGTTTAACTCACTCTGCGTGGGTGATGTTCCTCCAGCGGGACTTGGTGGGCTTGGGGGGAGGGGCACTTTGGTTCTCCCCTGGCATGAACATGTCTGGGGGCAGCTTGACGTTCTGGTAGTGTTTGGCCAGGGTGAGGAGGGGGTAGCGGCTTGGGTGGCACTCTGGCAGGGACAGTCGCATGTCTGTATCCTCCGCCTGAGGAGGACAAAGAACATATATGTGTGTGCACCCACACATATTCATAGCTGGTGTCAAAGTGTTCACATCTACAGTATGGGCACATAGAAAAAACATCTGAATCTCAAACATCAGCACCTAACCAATGACATGAAAATATGCCGTATGTGCAGTGATACATCTGTAGGAACATTTTCCAGGTAGAAAGAAACCTGACAATTACAGTCAAGTAAAAGAACAGACATTTATTTTTAGAGCTAATCATGATCACTTAAAGCATGACTCACCTTCAAGCTGAAGCGGGTATGGCAGATGGTTGGAACAAACTCATTGAAAGGCAAAGTGAAGTCTATATTGAGCGTCTCGCCGCATGCTGCCAGGTACACTATAGAGGATCAATAATGCAATTGATTAGTCGGCCCTGCTCTGGGATTAAGAAGAGTATAGACTATACAATATGTCATGACTTAATAGAGTCAAAGTATCCAGTGTTAAAGAGGCATTGAGTTATCGATTTATTTCATGACTGCCGTGCTAATTCTAATGCCAAACATATACAATGTTAATTTGTTACACTGCACAACTGTAAAACCACTGCATCACTCAATTATATTCTTATAATTATAATTATATATATATATTATAGAAGAATTTTATTATTGTAAATTCAATGTGGTTTTATGTAGCTTCACTCTTAATAGCAGATATTATTTCTTTTAGTTTGATAAAGTTCTGTTGTATTGAGTAGTTTACTTTAGAATCTTTAGTATACGTATTTCAAAATCATTCATTTCCAAGTGAATGGCCTGTTAGATTAATTTGCTGTAAATGTAATTAGTGTAGGTTGTTGAGAAAATAAAGAGTGTTATGTTTGTGTTCTCTCTGTATCAGCTCCGTCTCTTTTCATCTTCTTTTCTTTATTGCATAATGGATAACGTACATGGAATTTCTACTGCTTTAATTAACACCTCTGTCTTACTTACTGTGCCTTTAATTATTTACTGTATTAAGTATTTAACTGCCATCAAAAACATAGAAAAGACATTACATTTTTTTTTCCCACCAGGTTTGTGTTTAATTTTGGTCGTAATGAATACACTTCTTGAGTAAAAATATTTATCTACATTTAAACTTTTGCTTTAAAGTAGAAAACATTTCATTCAGCTTGATGAGAAGAAGAGCAACTTTCTTACCATTCTCCTGCTGCTTGGTGGAACAGTCAATCCAGTTGTGCTGGTTCGCCGCCCAGATCATCTCAAACTGGTGGAAAAGGATCTTGAACTTCCAGGAATAGGGCACAAAGGAGTAGATGTCTGGGGCGCTGTCACTCGCCCAGTCCTGGATCAGATCTAAAAAAGAAAGAAGGAACAGTGATTAAGTGAAAAAATGGAAAGTTTTCCTGTGAAGTTTCATACATTTTGCTATCTAAAAGCTAATGATCTGATCTGATGATTATCATACCAGTGAAGAAGTTTTTCTGGGCGTAGATGAAGTGGTAGGTGGCCTTGTACACCTCAATCTCACACTGCCACGACTGAGGCATGTTCCACACCCGGGGGTAGCTGGCTATGACGTGAAACTGGAATAGCAGAACACAATTTCAAAATCATGATAGCAGAGCACTTTACAATGTGTATTCAAATTTAACTATGCATTTGCTAAACTTTCCCTTTGCAACTTTAAGTCGATGGAGAAGTGATTTTACAAATTTCTGTTCACAAACTCAACTGAGAAGCGTCTTGTATAATTGTCTGCTACTTACAGCCAGCATCTCAGCCTCCAGAAGAGTCCTGTACTGCATGCTGCTGGTGGTGTCCACGTGAAGCAGCTGGCCTTTGATGGTAGGAGAGTAGCCTGAGGGCAGAAGAGAGACAGTAAAGGCACGGTCATCAATTCTAAAAAAACCCAGAGCTGGGGCTAAGTTCTTCCAAATAATATAATTTACCAGCAAACTTGAAAAGCTACTTATGTTAACTATGTTCCTGAGGACAGAGGGAAGCATTGACAAATGACTGACAAAATATTATCAGCTCAGTGCAATAAATGACTATACATATGTCACAAATGATCAGTGTTGAGAATGTCAGTATTCCCTGAGGTCAGTTGTTTTATTATGGAAATGAGGGGGGGGGCATCAATACTGAATTCACCCTCACTTAAGGTGTGGAGAATGTGGCACCTTAACATATGCAATGGAGTCTCATGTAGTAAAGTTTAGTCACAGCCTGCAGAGATTTCACCTACTTTAATTAGTTAGTTACACAGTGTATCTATAGTTTTTAAATATAAAGTGTAAAATTTGATTAAATGATATTAAAAAAAACCCAATTCTTCTGAAAAAAAGAAATTAAAGAATACATTTGAGTGCAAAGAAATAAAATAAAAACATGCTATGCCCAGCTTGAAGACTCTTTAATTCACTTTTTTGACATCCTGAAGTATGGGAGTAGTTCCGCCATTAGTCAGTGCAAGAGCTTCTTACCAAATGATGGAAAAACTGCATATGAATGTTTATAAATATGAACAAGATTTGTCCTTAAGCCAGTGACACATCTGCTGCAGCAACTGCTTGAAATACTGACATTTTGGTCTACCGGTCTTTGATACACGCACTTACCATTTTCTCCTACAGTCATGGGGATGTTGACTTCCAGGTAAGAGCCGGCACCTACATTCACATGGATGGCATTTGTTTCCTAGTAACAGAGATGAGACAGAGCGAGAGGGGAGAGAAAGGAAGAGAGAAAAGACATACATGCTGTCAAATTATTAGAGAGGCTGCCTTACTGCCTTAAAAATACAAGATTGGTACCTAAACTGAACAAAAATGTGTTCAAAAGATGTAATAAAATGACAATCTTCCCTGACTCGAGCCATTTTATGTTTTTATTCAACATGCATTTATGTTGATGTTTAGTATGCACTTCACATACTTAGCTTTGTGAAAAACCCTGCACTGCTCGAGGATGAAAATTTGAAAAAGCATAAAACATGAACCAATATCAATAGCTAAAACATGGTGAGTCATAAAGACAAAGACAAGGGGAGCAGCAGGGAGAGGAAGACAGATCACAGAGGTTGGCAAGAAAGAAAAAAAGAGAGAGAGAAGAAAGCACACAAGAGCAAGAATCACCCTGTTTTTGGTAAAAAGCAAATCGATGGTGGCGTCAGCGATGATGTTCATGCGGAGCTCGAAGGCCTGGATCTGCCTGGGTTTTCCTGGCTGGGCAACCTCGGTCACGTTCATGGCCTGGAAGTCAGCCGGCAGGAAGAACTTCCACAGACAATCCCTGAGGGAGGTGTAAATAAAAGACCTTAACTTTAAAGCCCAAGCTGTCCAAGCTGTAAGGTTTAAGCTGTAAGGCTCTCACTAGACCAGAACAGCACTCATGTACGTGCAAAATATACAAGAATGGTGTTGTTTTCCATCTTAATTCAGTTTAATTGCCAAAATCAGTTCTCCAAAAGCTCACAGAGGAGGTTGTGTAATGGTGCAGTTTTCTGTTTTAATACCTGCTAAGACTTGATGTCAGTAAATGCCAAGGGATTTCATGTTGAAATTCTCCGATAAGAGAGTTTGTGTGTTGTGCATGATCACCTCTGACGATCCGCCCAGGGGCCATAGTTAAAATCAGTTCCTTTTCCACAGACAATGTCCAGACCCCAACATGGAGGCAGGTCCTGAAGCTTATCGCCCTCACTGCATGTCTCTGCCTCCTCCCCACTCTCCTGCTCCACAGGCACCAGACCTGCACACACAAACACATTTCAAGCTCTAGACAGCTCTGACCACAACTACTGAACAAAAAGACACAAATGTACTAAAAGCCCTGCAGATAATCTTAAAACTAGTTTACTGCAGCTCCTTTAACAAATAGCCAACGTGGTGTATAGCATAATACAGAATGTCCCAATAATCTGAATATTATTTCAAAGAAAATAATTTTTTTTTGGTATTGTCCCAGCAGTGTGAGTTCTGCTGGTTGACATTCTTAGATTTTGTATGCGTGTGTGTGTCTGTATGAGCATGCGTGCATGAGCTTACCAGGTTCATCCTGGTAATAGTAGATGTCAACATCGTTGGACTGCATGACAACAAAGCCTTCACCCATCAGTCTGGGAGGTCTAGATGAGAAACCCACAGGGTCACAGTTAAGTACAGATTTTATGCAGAATCCTGTAGTTTATTCTAAATAATTCCTAGTAGGGCCCCAGCAGGTAAGCAGGTGCCTAAAAGGTAACGAACCATCAATTGAATATTCAGACCACATTGAAGCTCGATCTGGCATAAAGGCACTCAATTTTATAAATGCATTAGCCCTCATCACACTGGATGTTCCAGTAAAGCTTTAAGACATGTCAAAGACTGTTGGATGTCGAGATCACTGATGGCTCTTCCAGGGGTTACAGTTGCCAAGTTTTTATTGAGAGTGAGTATTTAATCACAGAGGGTTAACGGAATTTACTCTCCATGTCGTTTCATTCAGCTGAAGTGCAGATAATGGTTAATGGTATCACAGCTTATAGCAGTACAATTAATCCTGACAGGTAAAAAAAAAAAAAAATATATAAGAAAAAAGGGATGCCTTTTCCTTTTTTTTGGCATTAAAATTGTCAAATTCGGATACATACATCCTTATCTTTATTCTATTTATTCCAGCAGCTTTTACATTAAAGAAGACTGCAGTTTCTACACTTAGCAATCTAAAAGCATCCATTTTTATAAGCAAAAAAACTCAATAATTGAAATATATTTATTATATATATGATTTTCTGTATATGAGCTCATCTTCTATGGTCACTATGATGTGCTTAAAAAATGAGCGACAGAGTAGATTTTGAAGTTATTACTCTCCAGGCAATTGATTTATCTCCAACATCTCTAAACAAAATAGTTTTCGAACTGACAGCGACATAACTTGAAAAATGATGTTTACAATTTTTACAAATTGCTTTGAATAAATAAATACCAAAAATTCTGCTGCATTATTTAAACTCTTTGGTATTGCTTTTATATGAAAATCACCCCTCAAATGTATCCACCCTCTGCAAATGGGTTATTTCACAGCGACACCCCAGCTTTCTGAACTTACTCATCATTCTGCATGCCAAGGTAGCGTGGACTGGGAACCAGCATGACGCGCACGTTCTCCAGCGAGCCTTTGACAATGTGCATGTACTGGTCCAGGTGGCTGGATGGAGGCTTTGTTGCGTACGTCAGGAAGGCATCTTCAAAGTTCACGCACAGAGTTTGGGGAAGGTAGTGGTTCCCAAATGCCAGACGACCCTACAGCAGAGCAAACGCAATCAACTTTAACGATGTTCTTCTCCGTTCGTAATCACCAGTTGCTCTTAACAATGCTCTTAAGCAATTTCTAAAAGTGGAACCATGCTTCCTTTCTTGGAGCTCTGACCAAAGTCCATACAATTTTTGTCAAATTTGTGAGGTACTTACAGTGCTGATGTTAACTTTGATGACAGGAATGAGGGAGCGCCAAGATGACGTGGGGTCTGGACTCTCTGCTTTGATATTGACACTATACGGGGACCAGAAGACGTTCGGTCAATTTAAAAGCGCTACATTTCCAGTCAGTACCATTCATTTGGCTGTCAGTGGGAAATGACAACGGCTCTCCGCTGTGCTGACACTTCCGATGCAATTGGTGACAACAAACAGTTGCAGTTTTGTCTATCGCTCAAATCTGTTTATTAGGCAATTTAGCCAGCAATAATTTAATATCATCCAAACTCAAAAAGCAAGATACTGCGAGTACTCAGCAATAAGGGGCTTCTACTGATTAAAATTAAATTTTTAGGTATCTTCTACTTAACAAACTTCAAATCAATGTTGAAGTTTGATTTTCCAAGAGCACTTGATCGTACCTTTCTAGGGTCTTGTTTCTGTCCTCTCGTCCCCTCTCTTCATCTTTTTTGGGTGTTGTGAGAGTGGGTTCCAGTCCGAAGGTCTCTTGCAGTCGGGCGTAGAGGTCGGTCCGGTTGTAGACGTGAAATTCAAAACCGTTAACTGTCACGTAAAGCCTGGTCTCTGCCTTGGGGTCTGATGACAAGACACAGAGAGGAAACTCAGAGCTTCACTTAGAAAGCAGTTGCATGTTGATAGTCAAAAATAGATTGGAGAGCTTTAAATATATGACGATATTAAAATACATCAACACACAAAAACATACTAACAAATCAGCATTTCCCCATAAACAGATAAAGTTTTCCTGTGGTGGACTGATATATTTATTAGACACACAAATAAGGGAAATAAGTTTATTAAAGTTGAATTTAACACTATCAGGATAATTACAAAGTACCAAACTAAGTTCTTATGTCAACAAATATCTACTCACCATGCTGTTTCTGTTTCGGGTTATACATTTTCCACCAACGAAATATGAGGAAGCCATCCTGTATCCTGTGACAGAGAAAACAAAAATCAACGACTATGCAAGCAAGCTATAAGAATTTGGAGAAAGAGAGGAGAAGCAAACGATGCAGCAAAGGTCAGGTTACCTGATAGACATGTCCTGGTTGATGTAGTAAACATCTCTGAACATGACTTTGCCCGACAGTACAGAGAAGGAGAAGGAGCCTGTATGGGGGGGGTCAGACACATTTTACAGAGACATTAGAGCGTACATAATTCCATCATATAAAGTTACATGAAGTTATATAAACCGGTTTGAATTTGAGCCAACACACCAGCTAATTAAAACGTCAAACTAAAGATGTAATTAGAAGGTTGTGTAAGCTCTGGTAAAAATAAAAACACAGACTGAGTGTTGCTGGGATATTTAATCACCTTGTCTCGCTCTTATCACTGAGAAGAAAATAATCTTAATTAGGATCTAATTGTGCAACAAGTAGGTCAGAGTCTGTCACTGAGCGAGAAAAATGAGCAAGAAAACTGAACACGATTTTCCACCATTAAACCTTTTTTCAGCTCATAACATAACATAACATGTCTTTCTCTGCTCCAATTATTGCGTGCCGAGAGAGTGACAACACCTGAGCCTGACACCTGTTCAAGTAGAGTGGTGTCATCCCGGCTGACACTTCTTCATGTCTGTGGTATTTTTGACTCTTCCTCTGACTGGCTGCTTGTTTTGGTCAGCGCTTCCCTGTGAAGACACGCCTTCAGGCGCGTTCTAACCTGCTTGACACATTGCACACTGTTTGTTATCAAGGTTGTGCTCCTGTGCTTCTGCTTATTTTCCAAACTTTTGTGTGCTTCCAAAGCTTTTTTTGCAAATGCCAGCCCTCGACAGAGAAACAGGCTCTTTAGATCTTTAAATCAATTCAATTAATAAGAAAAAAAAAGAAAGAAAATCAATACAATTTTAAAAATAGATGAGCGGGTGCACGGGTGACTGCTCACTTTGTAGCGACACATGTTGGCAAAGAGAGCCATGCTTTCCTAATTAAATCTTAATGTTGCCTTGGTAATTGTTCATGCACTTCCTATTTGCTCATAGCCAGCTAGCTGCAGGTTTCTGTCCACATTATCTGTTCAGTTTCAGTACAAACATGTCTCATTACAAAGCAGGCGTCACTATGACATGCTCTGGCTTCTTTTTTGGTAAGTGAGTACAATATTTGGGTTGTATTACAGAGCACAAGCACCTGACACAATGAACTCTTTAGTTAAAAAACTGATGCGTTTTGGGAAGAAACTATTCACAAATGAGTTACGTTTGGATTTATGGTCTCAAAGTGCTTTAAAAATAAAGTTATGTGTCGTTTATGTGGAGAAATTCAATCTGGTGTTGGTTGCACTTTGCTGTTCAGGCTCTATGGAGATAATCACTGAGAGAAGCCGGCTCATCATGAAATATTCAGCAGACTGAGCTAACGCCTTGAACTGCAGCATTCCTCCTCTCTATTCATCACTGTGTGACACAGCTCCTGATGCACACACCAATATGAATGTAGCCATCCTTGTAGAGTCTGTTGATGATGAGGGTGAGGATGAGGCCAATGTTGCGGGAGTTGTAATAAGTTAAATAGATGATCCATCCACAGGACAGAATGGTAGCTGAAAGACAACAACACAACAGGTTTGTTAATACAAAGAAAACTACAAGACAATAAGTAAAAGAGATTATTTTTTTTTATGTTTTCTGATGCTTGTATACATCAGTGATGTTTGTGAATTAGTAAAGTAGTTTTAAACTTTCAATTATGATCATTAATGCTGATTTTGCCTCATGTTAATTATACATGTGAATTATATTGTTGATAAAAGTCAACAAACAATGACTGGTCCTTTGAATGCAGTGTGCCAGATGCTATTTTTCCTGACATGACATAACACAGAGGCATCAGCAGAGAAACGGCTGCAGCTTTACAGTGGTAGTCACACCAGCAATAGGTTTGGAAGCTATAATTCATAAATTCCACCCGAATGCGTGTTCATTTTTTTTTTTTTTTTTTTTTTTTTTAAAAGTAACCTAGCAATACCAATGGAATTAATATAGTAACTACTTAATCTTTCATATCTGAGCTTACAGCTGGGTTTTACTGCTGCACGACAAGCTTTTGTTTGATTTTCTTTTTCCCAAAAGAGTAGATTTCTTTCAGCCTGAAGATGTTTCAGTAATAGAAAGAAAACAGCAGCTTCATTCTGTGAGCCACTGAGAGCTGCACCTGCACTGAGCAATAACTGGAAACTATCATTTGTCATATTTTAGTTTAATTAAATTGCAATCAAATATTAATTCAGTCAGCTTCATTAAAGAATTAAAAGCAAACTGATTTAAATCTTTCATGAGAGTAGATCTTAAACACTTATCACAGAGAATATCACAGGGTTTTATCATACTTAACTAAAGTTTATTTAACATAACTGCACACACGTCAAAAGAACTCATAAACTGATATTGAAACAATTGCTCATGCTTACCACATTTTCAAATCTTTTTGTCAAAAGAGCCTCTACTATGCCCCTGATACTGAACTATTATTTAGCATGTTTTTTATTGAGTATTGTTATGTGTGGATGTTTTCCTCTGCTGTCTTGTGCCCTGTTCAAGGTACCCCTCCGACTGGTCAGGCACACCTACCGTGGTTCAGCAATCGGGACGATTGCTATAAAGCTACTGTGACGGAAGCAGACTGGGCCAGTGGGCCAAACCACCAGATAGAGTCGTGTCGCTGTCGGGTGTGAAGCAGAGCTGTGTGCTGCTCGTCACGTGTGTTACCGTTATTTCCTCAGTGGAGGGACAGCGTTATTCACGTTTATTGGTTGTCTCAGTGGTTTGTTTAGTTTCAATGGTTTTTCACTATTTTTCACTTTAGGAAGTTGTTTTGTGTTAACATTTGACATCATTTGCGTTGCCTATTCAGTGTTTCCTCTAGCAGTGGGCCCCCCCCCGTTGATAACCGAAAAGTTGAACGTTGTCCAATTAAAACGTTTTTGGTGGAGCTGTTAGTTTAATAGTCGACTTGGAAGAAAGCGAACATTTTGACAATAAGCTACATCAACACAACAGTATGTGGAGTTAAACTGGACAGCCCCAATAACCTCTGAATAGTTCTACTTGTTGTTAAATTGCAATGTGAGCGGCAGCCAACGGGGGTGCATTATGTCGGCAGGATCGTTTAAAAGGCAACCGTGACTACATTGTGCGTCTGCCCCATTTCTGATACCGTGGCGGCAGAAATTTAACAGCGGCGGGCCGCCGCTCCAAATTCAACATAGAGAAAACACTGCAATTGAGATTCAACAATTCAACTGTTTCACAAATACATGTTTGGTTAGGTTTAGGCCTAACATCTTGGTAAGGGTTCATGAATTGTCACATATGCTCTTTAGCTAATCTGATAAATACCTACAGACAAAGCAAATGTTACTAACACTCCATAAACTATCTGTAGGCGGACTCTCCGAGTACAGCGTTACCCTGTATATTCTTCCCACAGTGAAGATACAGACTTACCAACGAGGAGCCAGATGAAGTTCGAGTTGTGCTTGGTAAGAAAATCATCCAGATCCACAAAGCTGGGGAAAGTGCTTTCATTGTTTTTGGAAACATGCCCATCCATGGCTACAGGCTCTCAGTGTGATGTCTAAAACTGAAAAATACAAAAGTCAAATGTCAGATTACTTCCATGACACTTTAGGATGGAAAATAAAAAATAAAAGGAATACAGCAAAGAAAGACAAAAGACACCACATTTTACAGGAAAATAATGAAATGTTTTAATACATGTTAATGCACCGATGGGTGTGGCATACGTTCTCCAGGAAGCGACACCTGAAACTAAATTCTTAAAATAAATCGCTGGTAGATGGGGGATATAAGATATGGGGAAATAAATGACATCAATTCTAATTGTATTATAAAAAAAATATATATAATTTAGTCATTCGGTCCGAGCTGGGATGCAAATTTTAAGCAATTTCTTTACTCGATAAATCATTAAAAGCAAATAAAAGCTTTTTATTAATTTTATTACGACACAAGCTATATTTGCTACAAACTATATGCAAAGCTAAAGGTGATAAGGACTATATAGTTGCTCAAATCTAAAAGTAAATGAATGCAAGTAAACCATTATCTTAATCATAAATAGTCATTAATAACAAATAAATAATTAAAACTGCTGCTCCCACTCTGCCTGTCATGTTGATATTAAAAGTGTTACAAGAGTTTTTAACTGGTTTAATACCGATGCCTCTACATGACCTACATACACAAATAAGGCCATCAGGCTATTTCTATGTAGACATTCTTAATGCCTGCCACCAGGTTGGATTTGGGCGGATTACCCTTGAACTCAATGGTGAAAACACTACCGATTTATAAGTTCCTTGAAGGGGCTTTAAGTAGAAAACAAATGTGCTGACCCCATCTCGTGACAACAGACTTAAGTCTTACTATTTATTTATTTTTTATTAAAGAAAAAGAGCAAAGAGGTAAATATCTACATGGCCGGGGCTGAGTTATACTGTATGCACATTCTGTTCAATGTGTCACTCTGCTTATAAAGATCTGGTGGATGCAAACAGAATTTTGCAAGGGAGGAACAGTAAAAGTCTGGTTAGATAAAGAGCTTTGGGGGAAAAGATACATTAATTCAATAAATTCAAAACATTCATTAAACATTCAAAATCAAGAGAACCCAGGGAATCGAGAACCCGTTCCAAATTGTCCAATCCATCAAAATCTTATGCCTTCATGCTTAACAATTCCTTTTATCAGTGCCAGCATGTTTTTTCTGTCAGGTGCGTGTTGCAAAACAATGATGTCAAACTCATGCGTCTACGCTGCTGGAAACTTGCAACAAGAAGGAGTCATGCCAGAGAGGAAGATACGGTCCAAAGGGTGGCCTCGTTTCACAAAGAAACTCAAAGTACAACTCTACTCTGTTTCTACACTGTGTTCAGACTCAAACATAACACACAGAAAAACTGATCAGGAATCAATAAGGGAATCGATCGAAAGAATTGGATCGATGAGCAGAATCGATAACAGTATTGGTATAAGTAAAACCTTATCAAGTCCCATCCCTATGCATATGGTGCCAACCTATAAATAACAAAGGTAAGTTATCTTAGTACTCTATTTAAACAGGGACCTTATAAAATGCTTGCTATGCGTGACACCGTGTGATCGTGATAACTGCTTTATGTGCATCTACTTTGCATGTCATGAGGACATGAGGGCTGTGTTCGGTGACGAGGACTTTGCGAGGATTATTTTATTTTGTTTGTGTGTGGCAGGGGGCTGGTGGAAGGGTGTTGCACGTGTGTGTGTGGGTGGTTACGAGTGTATGCTGTGATCTCAGTCAGCCCATGCTTAGGAGTCAGAAGCTTGAATACTGTTACACACACAAACAAGACTCTCTCACACACACACACACACACACACACACACGAAACACAAATCCTCATCTAATCCACCCTAAATGACGTTGGCTGTAAAACCATTGACCATGTAATGTAACCAAACCCAGCGCTCTCTCTTACAGAAAATACTGTTTTAGCTTTAATGTGTCTTTTTGACAGATAAACTCAATATGATTATCCGTTACATTTGACATCCTGTAATTTAACAGACAATCTGGATCTCACAGGGGACTTGACACAAGCTACCTGCCAGATACTAATCTGGCTGTAGCTGTTGGGTTTGTTTACTATGTCAAATTAGGCAGGAGGCAGATGCTCATTCAGGTGGTCAACTTGCTCAAAAGAACTCAAACAGTGAGTTTCTGAAATCGCAGGCACAATTACTTTACCTAAATGTCACTTGTGTGTGCATCTCTTACACGACCTAACTGTGATTGAATGGATGACGGTATAGATACTCCTGTAAGGCAAAGTAAGGTATCGAATAATGAGTTATGAGCACAGATTATGCTGTCATCTCAGAAATATCAGCGCTGTTGGTGACTCATCACAGTTACTTGCAACCTGAGTGTTTTCAGTTTTGGTTTAGAAGTGGTGGAGGAGGGTCACTCTGTCAGCTGAAGCTACTAAATATTCATTTTTAACTGGCTACCAAAGCTGTTCCCAAACTTTTTCACGTTATTGACCCTCCCAACAGATCAACAACATCAGGCATCAGGGAAAACATACATCTCAACATCTCTTGGATTATGTGCTCATATATTTCTTAATAGATAAATAACAATAAAAGCATTATTTCAAGGAAGTCTAGCAACAACTGCACAATCATAATCAGAAAACATTTCACAGGTGCACAAACTATCAAGACATGCTGTACAAACAACACAGCAGTACTATGAATACATGAATGGACTAGAAGCTAGTTTGTGCCAAAAATGTCTGGCAGAATAAACCCTGGTCACCGAGCCAAACTGCACAAAAAAATCTGTCCATTACATTACATCTGACCTCGCCTGTCAGCAATACACACGTCATGTTGAATATGACCATTTCAAATTTGCTGATACGGCACACAGCAGCAGTTTAATCAAACTAAAGCCAGCATTTAGTTCCTCTAAATGATAATAACAATGGCTGTAGTGTGTTGCTCAACGTTAAACAAGACAATGAGGATGGCGAGAGAACACACAACAGTACTTGGTGGGTAACTTAGTTGACAGTCTTTGGCTTTGTTTACATATTGAACTGATATAGCTGTCACCGACATAGTTCTATATTTGCAATGCTATCTGTTTGCTAAAGTTCAACAGGGCCAGAGGTATACGGCTGTCAAATCACCGGACATCAGATGTAATCTGGAACCACAACGTTAGATACCTGACACTAACCATAACGTTACACCTAGCTAACTAATCCCTGGTCTTCAGTTATTTCCTGAGCATTATCTTCAGCATTAGAAAGAAACGCGAGCTGTTGCCTGACGTGTTTCATTTTATTGTGATGTTTCAACAATAGGCTGCTGACTCGTTCAACACAGCCAAACCGGCTTCTTGGCGAATGACGTTTTAGCTTGTGGATAATGCAGTTATTAAGCTAACCGCTAAATATCATAACGTTAGCACTGAGGTTAGCTAGCAAGCTAATGACTGCAGGCCGCACCCTGTAACTTCTCCCTCCTCAAACTGTGAAAACAAGTCAGTCGGTGATCGTAGAATACCTTAATGTCCTCGATAAAGCATGTGGTTTCATCTTTGCTCCAGTTATTCAGGAGTTGCTGTCCTTTTGTCGTGTCAGACATGGGCAAGGCTAGCATCCTCTGTTGAATATTTACCTGGCAGACGGCCAGTTAACGTCTCTTCCTGTTCTGTCGAGAGCAGTCACAAAATGGACCAATAGGAAAATGGGAAGTCAGAGACTGACCAATGAGAGGGAGGCGTGAGCGAGGCCACTTACACAATTGACAGTTTTTCCTACCTATCAACATGAATGTTTTCATAGTAGTGGGAGTGTTTTGAGGCTGTATTGGTGAACCCACAGCAGCATTCAGGCGTTACATAAATTATTCTCTGACATGTGTCTACATGTTTATTTTTTAATTCTCTGTTCACTAAAGTTTCCCAGAGTATGAAAAACAAATACAAAAGCATAAAAAAAAATACAATTATCTAAATGTATACAGACATTATATGAATTTGAAGATAAAAGAATACACATGAAAGAAAAAAACAAAACAAACTAAAAAAAAAAACAGAGGCTGTGAATGACATTTCTGAAACAGTGAAATGCAGTACTGGTGGGACCACTCCATGTGTACATGTTTTGAAGAGTCATTAGTATGTTACATTCTTGAAAGATATATTGGCAAAAATGTAATATAATATGCATAAATATGTTTTCATTAGTGTATAATCACTAATCAGTAATCAATTTGCTGTGTTTGGCAGGATTATATATGTAGTTTGCTTCAAGTTTCATAAAGTCATTAATGCATTTTTTATTAATATTTGTACAATCTATTAAAAATGAGACCAATACAGTCATAGCAACTTTAAATTCTAATGCTATGGCATATGACAATACATGGTGATGTTGAACTATTACTAGTCTATTGTGTTAGCATGCTCATATGTGTTGATTACTAAACACAAAGTAAAGCTGAGGCTGATGGGAATGTCAGTAGTTGAACTGATCATAGTGCTTGATGAAAAGTTAGGGGATCAAACCTAAATACATCCTGAGGAAAATAAGAATTCTTTGAACAAAATGTCATGCAAATCCATCCAATAGTCTAGTTGTTGAGACATTTCACTCAAAACCTCAAATGTCAGCCTCAAGGTGATGCACTTACATGACTTACATGATCACTTGAGTAATTAGGATTCATCCTCTGGGAGCCATGAGTGTTCTAATTTTTAGAGCTAATCCATCAAGTAGATGTTGAGATATTCTGTAGAATAAGTGAAAAATCTGAAACTGATGGTGGTGCTAGAGGAAAAGTCAGAGGTTCACCAAAGTCAGTAGGATTCATCATCTGGTGACTCTGGTAGTCTGTACAAACCTTCTTGACAATCTATCCAATAGGTGTTGAGATATTTCACTCTGATCGACACTGCTCTCCCAGAGTGACGCTGCCAGCATTATGAGATATTCTGCTCAGTCTTGTCAAACAAAATACCTAAAGATCCCCTCCAGTCATGGATTAAGACATATAAAAAAAATCAGCTTGGACCAATAATGTTTCTTTTTCCTCAAAAACTATATAATTTCCACAGTAAAACAACTACACTAAAAACATCTAATAATCCACTCCCTCTATCTCGTTAAAAATTCCAGAATAGATGAATATAAATGTGTCCATTCTCAGTGTGTGTGCTCTGGGGGCTTCAAGTTTCTGCATCACACTTGCAGAAGTTGCATACTGGACCAGTTCCAAACTATTTGTAATATTAATTAATTTTTGGACTTTAATTGACCTTAAGTGACATTGACAGTGACAGGAAAGAGGTGAGAGAGAGAGAGAGAGAGAGAAAGAGAGAGAGAGAGGATGACAAAGGGCCACAGGTCAGAGTCACACCCATGGCCCGCTGCAGCAAGGACTTGGTACATGGGACACCAGATGTACCAGGTGAGCTACCAGGACGCCCTTAGAATTCCCAACTATTTGTGATGCCACAGATCATGTTTGTTTAATGTGAAAACATCCTTCTAGTGTCAAACTCTGCACAGCTATTAAAGTAGCTGGAACCTGTTATCTTCTGGCCTGGAAGCCAAAAGGAAAGGGTACAGGAGGCCATCTGGCTTCCTGTTCTATTCAAAAACAATGTCAAAGCACACACAATATGAACTTCTTTGTTATCTCGAAGAATTGCTAGAACTCTAGGGTACTGTTTAATGTAAGAGGCTGTTGTCATGCCCTCCTCCAGTCACAACAACAAAGCCTCCCCAAAGAACACGTAGGAGCCGTTTTGCTGAAAAGGTGTCAAACATCGGGCTCAAAGCTTTTCCCTGCCAATCAAGACTTCCCCTCAAGACCAACCTATTTTGGCTGTGGCTTTAAAAGAAACCACATCAGTTCTTTTTCCTGTCTTGTGTATGTCGCTTCAACTAAATTCCTGAAGGAGGTCCTTGGTACAGTCGCTACAGATATTCTATTAGTAATTAACAGCTTCACTTTTGGTTCATTCCCCTCTTGTTTTAAATATGCAACAGTTCAAGGCCCCCCTAGAGGACACCTAATTAGAATTGTCTTGCTTGAGGCCATTATAGATAGACTACAGTTTCAAACTGCCTTTTTTCATCCAGCCGTTTAGAGAAAAAGGTTTCCTCACAGATGATATAACTTATGAATATCTCAGAGAAACTGCAGTCAGGTTGTGAATAACTTCAGAGTTCATGGACTGCGTCAGTTAAAATGACTAATCATTGCCACCTCACTAATAAATCCACCGTTTTACGACATTTTAATACTATTTTATACTGCCTGCCCTCCACAGAACAATGTTATTATAATGTTGTTTAATGTGATTCAGCCACACTTTGACTAGGTGGTTAGTCAGATATAGCTCCCAGTCGGTACACCATCACATCTGATTGACTTATCTGATATATGCAGTACTATCAGCATTCATTTAAGCCCAATGCAGCTTTCATTGCATACTGCAAACCTCCAATTAGTCTCAACAAGACGTCACTTTCAACCGTGACACACACAATACTTTGCCAGTTTGTTATAACTTGATTTGTCAGCTACTTTATATCAAGACATCAAGTACTGAGTGTCTAAAAAACTTCTGCAGTAAAATAAAAAAATAAAAAAGTCTATTTGGCAAACTCAGTTCCATTAACCTTGTCAAGTGGTAGTTGGTCAGCCAAAATTGAGTTTGCCAGTAGAAGTCGGAGAGTGATGTTTGCATAAGATTTCTATTTCCATCAGCAGTGCTGCTGTAAAAGCCGAGGGCCCAGCTAGAGAGGGTGCACATAAATTTAAGTTACGGGGGGCCAGCATTCCTAATTCCTAAAACAATATTACTTTGCTCGTATTTTTCCCTGCTCTATTGTGCCTGTTGCTTTCAAGGGACGGCTCGTGGTCCCTGAATACATCCCAGAACCTTTTAACCTCATAGAGTCAGAGCTTAGCCAGATATCTGAGTGTGATTGGATCTTTGTTATCAGCGCCCCTTCAGCTTTGGAGCCGTTTGAGGAGCTTGAGCCCGCCAACCTTTACCTCATTTGTTTCCCTCGCCTCTAATCTTATTTTCTTCTCATACAGATTACTGAAATAACTCTACATCTAGTGGATGGATCGCCATGACCTTTTGTACAGACATTCAGGGTGGTTCAACATCAAGCAGCGATTCATAAATGTTTGTCCTCCATCATACTGCCCCTTCCTCAACCCAATAGAAGAGTATTTCTCTCCGGGGAAAATCTCCTACAGGCAATGGATCTGTGGTGACATAGCTACTGTATTATTTACAGTTTACATTCTAAGTTGTTAATATACATTTTTTATATATTTATAAACATATAAAAATATATTTATTACCTTTTTTCTGTAGCTACATGCCCTGAATGCTGTGATCATTAAGGCAGTGTGTAAAGACTGCTCAGTAGTGTTTATATACTGACTGGCTGTATACTTGATGTGCAAACTGATTTTCCCATTAGTCTCAGCTTCACTTTCTATTTAGTGCTAATTAGCAAACGTTAGCTAGCACATTACACCAAGATGGTGGACATGGTGAACACCTGGTAGACGGCATCATTTAGCTTTTAGGATAATCAGTTCTAAAGCATATGAACATGTGTGTACATTTAGAACTGTAAAATATGTTATATTTATTACCCATTGCTTCGTCTGCACGAGTAGACAAAGGTTCAAAAGAAAACAGGTCTGTCATTTGATGTATTTCTGTTAAATGCGGATCAACTGTCTCTCTATGCGTTCTGAATTCAAAACGACAGGTAAATGTAGGGAAAATGGAAAATGGCACATCATTATCAACTCAACAAATAACACTGTCAAAACAATTTGAATTTTAAAAGCAATACTTAACGCACATAAACCAGATTGCTTGACTTTAAGGCCACAACAAGTGTATGTTTGCAGTACGGATAGATAATCCTAACAGCAAATGCTATGGGAGAAGAAGAAAAAAAAGAAATCAGTGCATGTCCATTTTACTCACAGCGGGGTAAATGCATTAAATGGTGACACTCGATGTCAGCTACACACACAGATTTGCTTTGTCAGGAGGGATTGTGATGAGATTTAATTTACAGTGCTTTTGTCTTTTTCTTTAATGAAAACCCCGTGTTTCATGATTACTCACAACCTTGTGGGTCTGCACCATTCACATTCACCATGCAGGTTCAGTAATTGAATTCTTTAAAGCGGCAATGCACAAGTTCAAAAGGCCAACCTGAGGGCGCTGTACAACACAGGCAGTGAAGAAACTAATAACTCGTGTTTTAATAAATATAACTTTTAATTAAATTGTCCTGGTGGGCAACTCAGCCAATTTTAACACCATAAATTAATACAGACCCTCTATTAACAGAAGGCATAGAACACATGAATAATTCATCCCGCAGAGAATAATTTAAGTCTTCTAAAAACATTAACCTCACATTATGCTTACAGTTGATCAAGGCAATATATCAAAACTTTAATTCTAATGGCTCATAACAGCAGTAACAATACATCTTTGAAATTATGACTTGTACTGATCAAGACACAAAAGGAAGCTTTGATTTTTTCATTTCAGCAAAGGAGACATAAACATCCAGGCTAATGGTTGTCTCAAAGAGCAGACATGTGCATGCATTCATGTAACAATAAAACAAGACGACAAAATGTCTGTTTCCATTA